TCCACGGTGGTGTAGGGTCGCCACTCGGAAGAAGAAGAGTGTTGTCGTATATGGAACGACGGTGCCATCCCAAAGCAGCTCTTGAAGGAGCGAAAACAACCGCGCGCATCGACCATTCAGCACCATTCAATGCAGCAGACCAAGGGTCTAGAGTAACATTGAAAATCCCAAGCAACGCAAAATGTCAGTGCATCCAGTACAACGTATGAAAGTGGTGCTCAGCGCTGATGATTAATGATCTGGGCCTTGCCATGATCTGGGTCACGCAGAATGACAAGAAGCGCAACGCTTGGTCACAACCTCACTAATCACGAAAGTGGGCGACAGGACGTTGCAGCAATTGTTGGCAAAGCAACGCAGACGTCGAAGGCCTGCAATGTCAGCAGTATTGGGCTGTGTCGGGCGGAACATCTTGATTCAGATGTAGCATGCGTCAAAGTGCACCTGCTGGGAACGACTAGACGCAGCGCTTGCAGAGGTCCGTGTTGGAGATTGTGGCGAAAGATCGTTAAAGTCGCCTTCCAAGATGATACCGCAGCGGCCAAGACGCTTCCGCCCTTCATCGCACGGCTCGTCAACCCCAAACTTTTGCACCGCGCCCAACGACCTGGCACCCGCCTTCTTCCCTCGTTGCACGCGTCAAACGTTGCACTATACAAAGCGAACCCGAGATGATACCTCAGCGCAATATACCTTTCGCTTGTTCTGGCCTCGCCCCTAGCTTTCAAGTACGCTTATAGGCCGCGCCGACGAGGCGGCCAGGGTTGGCGTTCTAACCTGCTTTGATGAGAAAATTTGGTTCTCTTCCTTCCTGTCTCTGATCGTCTTTGCGTCCCTAGTGCAAACGAACCCGTGCGGCGCGAGGGTCTTGATCGCGGCCTTTGTGGTGGCTGTGTCCTTCCGATATCGCAGTTTCGCATTGATCGAAATTGAGCCGCTCTCATCGATCCTTCGACTTGGCATCTCCCGCCACACGTTGACCGTCGCTGAGAGGTCTTATTCGCTTCGTCTTGACCATACCAATATTCATGTCCACACTTGAGACTACAATCTCTATTGTTGGGAGGATGCAAGCACACTGACAAGCGTTACACAAGAATGACGATGACAGCATTGTGGGGTTTGCATGCGTCACTCACTCTGCTTGCAGGCGTAGACATCATAGCTGCCCAATCGCCCTCGCCACAACATCGCGCGACCTTCGACGGATGCCACTGTCAGCAGCAAGGCCGTCTTTTCACCTTTTGCCCAATAAGATCGCTGATTGCCGCACGCTACAAGGGCTGCACCACGTAGCTGCTGCCGCTTGCGCTCACCAGGCCCCATACTACTCGCGCATGGAAACTCTACCGCGAGGGCTGGCAACGGACCTTCAGCGCTTGCGGCCAAGCGTTGCGCTTCTTGTCATTCTGCGTGACCCAGATCATGGCAAGGCCCAGATCATTAATCATCAGCGCTGAGCACCACTTTCATACGTTGTACTGGATGCACTGACATTTTGCGTTGCTTGGGATTTTCAATGTTACTCTAGACCCTTGGTCTGCTGCATTGAATGGTGCTGAATGGTCGATGCGCGCGGTTGTTTTCGCTCCTTCAAGAGCTGCTTTGGGATGGCACCGTCGTTCCATATACGACAACACTCTTCTTCTTCCGAGTGGCGACCCTACACCACCGTGGATCTTCCTTCATCCATGTGCTGCTACACGTTTCGCGTCGCGGTGATCCGCTTTGTCTGTGCGGTGATGGCGCTCTCATCCAACCGGAGTCTGCATATTCGCATCAAGAAGCCAGGACGGAAACGCATGTTGTCTATATTCGCATCAGAGATCCGGTTCCGAAACAGCGCAGGAGGTCCACACGTCACGCCAGGTGTTTTTTCGTCGGCGGCCCTCGCGGTCTCTCTGCCTCATAGTATCAGCGCCGATATCGTAGCGACGTGGTGCAGGGGCTACGTAGACTAGAGCTACGACGCTCGCGACGTCGAACAGTTTTTGTCCATCCGAGAGAGGTATCGATGTCGGGTGGTGGGCGCTGGCGGCATATTCGCCATCGGCCGCCGGTCGCATCGTCGTGATCTAAATTGGAATTCATTGTGGGCTTGAGCGCATAATACAATGGTGTTTTCCGTGTCTTTTTGGAATAAAAAGAGAGGCGCAGAGACAGTTGATGTATGTGGTTTCCAAGTATTTAAATGCAAACGCGCTGCATAAAAACAAGACGCTTTTCGTTTTAAATGACCACGTTGAAGTGGATGATGGCGATCCCACTCTCCGCTCCGCTTGGCGTAAAATTAGCTTGGTGTTTGTATGCTTGCGGCTATTTTGGGCACATGGCGACGACTTGAAAGATCATTTTCGAATTTGCCTCCAAAGCACGAGCATGACCAACCCGACCGTCCTCCAGGTGCTCACGCGCGGCCTCGGGCAGACGCTGCCGGCGCACCCGGGCAAGGACCTGACCGTGCCGCAGGCGCCCGTGCGCACGCCCAACCTCACGGAGCGCGAGACGCGCCTCGCCATCAAGAACGCGCTGCGCTACTTTCCGTCTGCGTGGCATGCGACGCTCGCGCCCGAGTTTGCGCAGGAGCTCAAGGACGAGGGCCACATCTACATGTACCGCTTCCGGCCCACCGAGTACGAGATGAAGGGGTACCCGGTCGATTGGTACCCGGCCAAGACGACAGCCGCCAAGGCCATCATGATGATGATCATGAACAACTTGGACAAGGCGATTGCGCAGTTCCCCGCGCACCTCATCACGTACGGCGGCAACGGCAGCGTCTTCTCCAACTGGGCGCAGTACCTCCTCGTGATGAAGTACCTCTCGGAAATGACGGAGGACCAGACGCTCGTGCTCTACTCGGGCCACCCCGCGGGTCTCTTTCCGTCGTCGCCGGACGCGCCGCGCATGATTGTGACCAACGGCATGATGATCCCCAACTACAGCACGCGCGAGATGTACGACAAGCTCTACGCGATGGGCAACACGCAGTATGGCCAGATGACGGCGGGTAGCTACTGCTACATTGGACCCCAGGGCATCGTGCACGGCACGACCATCACGGTCATGAACGCGGCGCGCAAGTACCTCGGGAAGGAGAGCATGAAGGGCGTCGTGTACGTCTCGTCGGGTCTCGGCGGCATGTCGGGCGCGCAGCCCAAGGCCGGTGTCATTGCCGGCATGATCTCGGTCACGGCCGAGGTCGACTATGCGGCCATCGAGAAGCGCCACGCGCAGGGCTGGGTCAACGAGATCGCGACGACCTTGCCGCAGTGCCTCGACATGATCCGGTCCGCGCGCAAGGACCAGCGCGTCGTCTCGATCGCGTACCACGGCAACGTCGTGGACCTCTGGGAGGCGCTTGCGGACGCGGCGGACGCGGGCGAGCACCTCGTGGACCTCGGCTCGGACCAGACGTCGTTGCACAACCCGTACAACGGCGGGTACTACCCGGTGCAGCTCTCGTTCGACGACGCGCTCAAGATGATGGCGTCGGACCCGGCGCACTTCAAGGAGCTCGTGCAGTCGTCGCTGCTTCGCCACGTGAGCGCGATCAACCGGCTCACAGCCAAGGGCATGTACTTTTGGGACTATGGCAACTCGTTCTTGCTCGAGGCGAGCCGCGCCGGCGCCGACATTTACAAGTCGGACGACTTGGAAGACGGCTTCAAGTACCCGTCGTACGTGCAGGACATTATGGGCGACATCTTCTCGCTCGGCTTTGGTCCGTTCCGCTGGGTGTGCACGTCGGGCGACGAGGCCGACTTGCTCAAGACGGACGCGATCGCCGGCCGCATCCTCAAGGAGTACCTCGCGACCGCGCCGCCGCTCGTGGCCGCGCAGCTCCGCGACAACATTCGCTGGATCGAAGCCGCGGACGAAAACAAGTTGGTCGTCGGCACGCAAGCGCGCATTCTGTACGCCGACCGCCACGCGCGCGCCAGCATTGCGATTGCGCTCAACCAAGCGATCGCGTCCGGCGAGCTCTCGGCGCCCGTCGTGCTCTCGCGCGACCACCACGACGTCTCGGGCACCGACTCGCCGTTCCGCGAGACGTCCAATGTCACGGACGGCTCGATGTTTTGCGCCGACATGGCGATCCACAACGTGATTGGCGACGCGGCGCGCGGCGCGACGTGGGTCTCGATCCACAACGGCGGCGGTTGCGGCTGGGGCCAGGTCATGAACGGCGGGTTCGGCCACGTGCTCGACGGGTCGCAGGCCGCGGAGCGCAAGGCCGCAAGCATGTTGCGCTGGGACGTCAACAACGGCGTCTCACGCCGCGCGTGGGGCCGCAACGACAATGCGTGCTTTGCGATCGCACGCGAGATGGAGGTCGACCCGCTCCTGACCGTCACGATGCCCCAGGCTGCCGACGACGACCTCATCAAGCGCGTGTGCGACGCGACCTTTCAGTAGGTACATGGGTTGTGGGCAGTGGTAGACGTGTATGAAATGAATCTGAATGTGAATTTTTGCTTTTATCTCTGTTTCTAACCAGACTCTGGTGGGCGTTTGCTGTGGCGAAATGGTCACAAGCTTGACGTGGCTGATAGCAACACCAAAGCGAAGCGGTTGATCTGCAGCCAAGTCACCAACACTTGCATTTTGAGTTTTGAGTTTTGATTGCTGGATCGTTCGGTTTGTATGTCGGTAAGGAAAGCCGATCGGCGGAAATTTGGACGAAAACTGAAGCTGAAACTGAACCAACGTTAGCGGATCGGCTTTGCCTTAACCACATTGAGGTGGTCGCCGAAACTCAATGCATCAAGTCTGGCTCTCGTCAAGATGCTCAGAATCGACAACCTTCTTGCTTGCACTCCAAGATGATGGAAGCCCACCAGAACTTACAGCTTTCGAATCCAACGTACGAACTACTAGTATCAGCCTCGGCCTCGGAGCAAAGTCGACATCGTGCTCCCGTCTGTCTGAAGCCCGGGACCTCATGATGAGCCAGTGGATACGCCAGAGGACGTTGCAAGTGATCTCGCTAGATGCCCAGACCAGCTTCGTATCTTTGCGGCTATGCCTTACACGCTGGCTGCTGCCACGAGGTCCGGACAGGATGTCATTTCTGCTTCAAGTAGCCGTTGAGGCCAACGGCAAGTCGTGGACGCGTAGGTGTCGTCGCAGGTGCCCAGACGCAGGAGGCAACAGAGGCAATGAGTTTCTTCATTTCACTTACTGACCGTCGCCAGGTATCACGTCGTTGTGGCTAGTATATTTATTTTTGGACACCCGAGAAGTTGCCATCGTCGCGTTCCGTGTCCCACTTCTCCATCCACGAGCCGGGGCAGATGGCCTTGGCGTACTGGCGCGTCTGCTTGCAAGCATCCTCGTCGTCGTCGTTCTTCTTCAGGCAGAGCGCCCACTCGTTGTAGCGGGTCCTACAGATCATCGGTCATGAGCGCTCGGTTGGTCGGTCATGCGGGCTTGGTACCAGCAGTGCTGCGTCTGGTTCTGCGTCGGGAAGCGCGGGTCGACGGGCGTCGTCTTGAGGTCTTCACGGCTGTTCATTGTCGTTGTCTATTTGGGAGCAAATCGGAAACTAATTCCCTCCATACACAGCCGGACCACCCATCTTGTATACTCAACCCAAGTCTATTTTGAAATCAGCCGGCTCAAAACACAAAAAAACACGCCCTACAAACCGCCAGTCACGCCCAGCAGTATACTTTACGTCAGTTCTTTTTTATCCGGATACCCCAGCCCTACGCCGCAGCAAAAAAAATACACCTTGCCTTTTTGAACTCTTTTTATTCGTTTCCAGCCCAAGCTATACAAAAATTAGGTCATTTAAAGAAGAAGGACACCATAAACCGTGGGATTATTTTGAAATCCACGCCAATGTTCGACACCGGTCGGCCTTTTTCGCGGTCACGCAACCGCCACCTCATAATACGGGGAGAGGCCGCGCCCGCGACCGCCAGCCACGTCATGGCCTCGACCATGCCATGCGATTCGGACACGGAGGGCTTCATGGCCGCTTCCTACGTGGTCTAGCATGGCCACGCCCACGCTAGATGCCTCACTGCGCGCTCTGGGCGCCCGCGAGCGGCGATGCTTCTCGTCGCGCATATTATGCAACACTGCAGATACGTCCAGACGCATCGTGCAGAGGCTCGGGTATCCTGGTAGCCTCCATGCAACAGGCAGCTATCGTCTTCCATGCGACGAGCTGCCTTGGCGTCGAGCTTTGAGTGACCCATACCTCGTCAAACACTCGCCTCGGACGTCGACCGCATCCTTCATGTGTCGACCTCTTGCCCGATGATGGCGCCTGCGTTGCATCAACCGATCACGAATCCTCGGTAGTGCGTTGGATTACGGCAGAGTTAAATACGTGGCTCAACGCTGGAAGAGGAGGCCGACGCCGTCGTCGTGCTGGTCATGCGCTTCCTTGGCCTTGGTCGGCAACACAAGCGCCTCTGGCAGGTCGTCGATGGCCTTGAACGTATGCGGCGCATCGCGGTACGCCAGGAACGGCGTCTCGAGGAACTCTTTCATGAGGTTCTTCTGGGCCTTCAAGCTCGGCTGTTGCCGCAGCGCGGCCTCGAGCTCCACGACATGACCTGTCTCGACGGTGGCAAGGCCGAGGAGGAGCTGGCGCGGCCACGGGTTGATGTCTTCGTCGCGTTTCCGGGGTTGGTTGACCGGGTCGATGCCCTTGCACTCGTCGACCGGGAGAAGACCGAGCGTCAAGCGGCAGTAGATGTTCCGCAGCAAGTTGACGAGCTCCCACTTGAGGCCGTCGTCGACGTCGTAAAAATGCGCCAAGAGCGCCGTGAGCGCCGCCGTAAACACGTCCTTTCCGAGCAAACCACCAAGGTCCAGGCGGCCAAACAAAAGACTCACGAGACGGTCCAACAAGATGGCACTGCGCCGCGCGCTCAGCGTGTCACGCCACATGAGCACGCCCAGCAGGAGCGACGTGAGCGCATGCGTGAGCGCCGGCGATGCCAGTACAAAGTCGCGCCGGACGCGGTCCTTCTCCATCATGATGTGCTTGGGGTGGTCCGAGTCGACATCGACGACTGTCTTGGCATCCACGAGCGCTTCGATCAAGTCGACAGTGTGGCGGACAACCTCGAGCACGACAGCGTTCTGCACTGTGTCGATGGTCGTGGCTTGCATGTCGAGACCGATGAGCATCGGCAAATGCGCTGTTGGCGACGGCGACCCGGCCCAGACCGGCGCGAGCCGCGACGACAAGTGCAGTAGCACACGCTGGAGCCGCGGCTCGAGAAGCGGCGCGAGGTGCGTCTCGGGGCAGCCCTTGACAAACGGCAGCCACACGCTCGCGAGGAACGACTTCCAATGCCGGTGCTCCATCGTTTCCATATGCACGAGCACGGCCTGGTCGAGCATGCTGGCAAGCGACGGAATGTCGACAAGTGCGTAAAAGCTGGGCAGCGAGAGCGCGCACCCGACGAGGTGGTAGCCAATGTCGCGCACGTTCTTGGCCCAGCGCGCATACTTGAGGAGGTCGGGCTGCAGCGCGGGCACCTGCTCCTTCCCGACGAGCGCCTGGACGACCTCTTCTTGGGACATGCAGAGCACGCCGCGCACGTCCGAATTGTCGGATGCTGCAAACAGCGTGTGTTGCTCGACGGGCAGCGTCTGCAGCGTCCGCAAGAGCGACAGCAAGTTGGGCAGCAAGACCGGCCAAACGCTCGCGAATGGGTGCACGCTCTCCCCATGAACGATCCGACGGGCAATGCCATACAACGTCGTGAGCACCTTGACCAAGCCAAAGACAAGTGCGTCGTCCTTGGCCGTCATGGCCGCGACCAGTGACGACGGCGACGCGACGAGCGCCGTCATGGCCGGGGACGTCCACGACGCCAATGGCTCGGCGGTGATTTGGCCAATGAACAACGTGCGCTCGTCGGCCGTCGGCAGCGAGTTGGAAACCAGGACGAGCATCTCGTACAAGAGGACGCTCTCGCTGTCGAGCACGACCGGGAAGAGACCAATGACCTACGATACCGACGATCAAACCACGACTTGTTGAAGCACAAACGTCATGCACAGCAGTTTACCTGGTTGCAGAGGATGGGGAGGAACGGCAGGACATGCGACGGTGACGCGTGGCAGATCGAGATCAAGGACGCCAGCGCGCGCCGACGGACGTTCATGGTCGTCGGGTCCATGGTCGTCAAAATCGTCTCGCCCGGCTGCGCAAACACAATGAGGCCAAAGAGGCGCTCAAACACGCGCGGGTATAAGCCCGGCGCGCGCATGTAGTACTTGGCAAACAGCGACAGCGCGAGGCAGTGGCGAAAGAGCAGCCATGGGTCCGGCGTCTCGTACGCTAAGAGCGCTTCGACCGTCGCGCTCAGCGTCGCCAAGTGGCTTGCCTCGTTCAGCGCCGACTCGGGCAGCGACTTCATGATACAGTCGATGAGCGCGACGAGTCCTTCGTGGTACAAATGCGCCGTGCTGCTGTCGGTGCAGTGTCCATGCTCGTCGAGCGCATCCGTCCCCCGCGCGTGCGCCGACAAGACGTACTGCAGCCGCTCGTAGAGCAGTTGCAAGCCGACGCCGGGCTGCAGCTGCAAAAGGAGCCGCAGAATGCCGTAGAGGCGGCCGCGGAAATTGCTGTAGAAGGCCACGTACGCGTCGTTGTCGTCAAACTCGAGGGCGCTCACAGGGTGTGCGTCGTCGCGGTCGGGCGAGTGGAGCTTAAAGTACTTGTCCATCGAGGTACGCCAGAGCGCGGGCAAGACGTTGTGGGGCACCAAGAGGCTGCTCACGACCTTCTTCTGCTTGAGGAGGTTGAGCCACACGATGACTTGAGCCTCTGTGACGGTGAGCGACGGGTGCTGGAAGAAACGCAAAAGGAGCTCCACAAACGGAAGCAGCACGTCGTGCGAGGCTGGGAGCTCGGCCACGAGCAGCTCGAGCTGGTGCGTGCCCCAGCTCACGAGCACGCGGTTCACGTGCAAGTGCAAGTTCAAGTCGTCGCTGTCGTTTACGTCGGCGACCGAGATCTGCGCTAATGCCGACCAGCACGTCTGCGTCGTGGCCACCACGAGCGCCAAGTGGTCTTTCCCAAAGGTACGCGAGAAGTAGACTTCCAAGCACTCGGCGGCCGCGATGCGGATGCTGTGCTGCAGCGCCGGCGACTGCAAGAGGAGGCTTGCGACCGCGATAAAGTTGGTGTCGGGGGACGCGGGCGTATTCACGGGCATCCAGTCGAGGAACTCCTTCATCATTTGGAGCGCGGCCAAGATGACGGCGTTGGCAGTCTTGTGGTCGGCCGAGGGCGACTGCAGCTGCGCATACTGCATCTCGAGCTGCTGGTACACGAGCGGGAAGAGCGTCGGGAAGCACGCGTTGAGGCCCTGGAGAATGTCCTTGCGCCGAATCGGCGGGATCGTGCTGTTGAAGCTCGAGCTCACACAGTCTTCTGCAATCGACCGAAAGAGGAGCATGACGATTTCGGCTTGGATTGGGCCCATGGACCAGAGCGACAGGAGCTGCTCGAGGAGGTCGGGCCAGCGCTGCGGGAACTGGCGCTTGGCAATGTCGGCGAGCACCTTGACCAGCTTCTCCTTGATGAACGACGGCTCGTCGGCGGCGACATGCGACGCCACAATGTTGAGCAGCGTCGACCGGTACTGCACCGTCTCGTCGGCCGAGCAATTCTTCCAGTGGACGCGGATATAGTTCTCGACGACATGCAGCGCAAAGTGGCGGTGGTGGCTGGCATGCCCACGCTGCTGGAGGAGGTAGAAGGCGTAGCTGACGCAGTTGGGCGTCTGCTGAAACTGCTCGCAGTAGGCGTAGGCCGCGTCGCGCTCGGCCTTGAGGCTCCCGGTCGCGTGGCAGACGTCGACAGCCCGCAGCAGCTGCTCGTACACGTGCTCGTCCATCTATCGCGTGTCGGCGTCCGGCGGCGTCTCGACTTTTGAACCAACAACCGGCCATCCGTATGCGCCATCCGGATAAGACGGATTTTCTACGTTGCACTTGGCGGGACGAGGCGAGTGATGGGCTCGATTCCGACTGCCAGGAGCAAGTTCGTATGGCCCAAGCTGCATGGCAAGACGCACCCTGTCAGTCGTAGAGCGAGTAAGCGCGCAGGTTGTGGTGGGCTCGCAGCGGCAAACACCTTGTGGCGTCCACTGCACTGCCGTCAATTCGAGCAGCTCGCAACGTGCTGGCAACAGAGTAGCTTGCAACTACAACCATCGAGATACTCGGACTCGGTGGTCGTGGCATGAGCACAGCGCTCTACCGCGGACTCTCGCCGCGTGGTGTCGCCTTGGCGACGATGTCGTCGTGTCGTTCTTGAGCGATTCGGCCAGTGAAGGTCCTTCTTTCCTCGAATTGCTCTCACAGTTAGCCACCGCGCAGAGCAACAACTTCACAGCCTCTTGACGCTTCCCGAGGTCATGGACGGTGGCAATGCTGCAGCGTGCTCGAGTACAAACGCATCGCGTGGTCATCGTTATGCGCCAAAGCCACGACGCGACATTGCCCTTCACTTGACCTGAAGCCTTGTCGAAATAGATAATGTTGGTCTACTGTGTTGTAAACCAGTATTGCTCGCCACTGATGGCAGTGCATGGACCTTCCTGCTGCCTCGGTTGGGACCTGACAGCGCACTGCTTGACGCCAAGGGGCCTTGTGAGCATCTTCATGGACCTAGGTCGATTCCTTCCACACAGCTAGAGTACTCGAAATTGTTTAAAATAGTAAAATTCTCGGCAACTACGTGGAGCAGCACGGGTCGATGTTGCCCGACATTTGGTCCTGCTCCGTGTCCTTGAAGAAGTAAAAGCCGGCGCCAAGACCGAGAATCGCAGCGACAAAGAGGCCCGACTCGTAGAGCATGGCCACGAGCATGATGAGGTACCCGATCGAGAGCGCGAGCATGTAGAGGCAGGCGAGGACAGTCGAGCACCAGAGAGGAAGCTTGGTCGTCTTGACTGTCGTCGGCGTCGCGTCGATGAGGCTCGAGGCCGCCGATTTGGTGAACGCAGGAGGCGTGTTGAGCTGGACGCACGAGTTGGCCAAGACGTCATCAGTCGAGACGCCATAGACGCGGATGAATTTCTATCACAAAATTCTCGTTAGCGGCCCACATTTTGTGAATTGCAATGGGAAATACCTCTTCAAGAGCCTCTCGGTACTCGCCAAGCCACTCGAGAAAGATGCCAAGGAGCACAATCCCGATAAAGCCAAACGCGTACTTGACCGACGAGTCGAGGACCCACGGCTGGAAGAAGAGCTTGACACATGTGCTTCCGACCGACGACTGGAAGCCGTCAAACATGACCGACGCGTGGTTGCAAAAGCCTGTGACCGGTTCCGGACCCGTCCCGACGTAGTAGCTTTTCTATACCACGATCGATGGTCATCACGCTACGTACTGGCAAGGACTAGAAGTACCTGGTCGGCCAAGATCAAGTCGGCGTGCTCCTTGGAGCATGTGTACAGCTTTTGGTTGCCCTGGGTGCCCCACGTCATGGCGTACTTGAGGTCGGTCGAGCCGCAGACGGGGCAGCCCATGTGCGCATGAGTATACGGCGCATCCAAGGCCGTGACGGGCACCGCGCCTCGCAGCACCTTGCCCTACAGACCATGGATCGTTGTGAGGCGCGGCGAGAGGCGACCGACGTACCGCCGGGTTGGCCAGCGTCTCGAGGTGGCCGGCCATCTCGCAGGCGTAGATGGCTTGGTTGCCCTTGAAGGTCTGGTTGAGCGACGGGATGACGTCCATGGCGCAGAGCGGGCACTGGGTGTCATGGAGGTCCTGCTGCGCCAAGGCCATAGCGACGAGGAGGACGACCGCGGCGAGGACCGCGCGTGCAAATTGCATGGTAAATTCGGGTTTCACCGAGCGCAACGCTGGGTTTCCACGCAACCCACCAGCTACCTTGGTTTGAGTATGCAGATACAAACACCAAGTGCAGTCTCAGTAGACAAGGAGTGGTCCCCCCAATACCGGCAATTGTCGACGCTGGCAACAAAAAAATACACGCGCGGCCGGGTGTGCCATACAAAAACTAGATGAAGCAGTGAGACAGGCCGTCGTGTTTATTAAAGCGTACCACCCCACGCAATTGTCAACCAACGGTGCACCCGGGTCGAGCAATTGTTTGGTCTTTGGCCCAAGCACTGTATTTTATTTGGCTGTCTCGAATATGAGTCGGAGTATGCCATACTCAGATGCAAACAACGAACGTCCGATTTGTGTCCCTGGCTTTAATGGCTCAACCACCCTTCAAGTCCCGGGACCTTCTCGGAAGGGTCGTGAACCTTCCGCTCGACGGCGCTATTCAGGCCTCCTTGAAGCATCTACCTGCCGCAAGGAGGGCGCCAAGCAGGTCTTTTGCGCTGAGCTTATCGCTTTCATCATCACCTGCTCGACTGAGATATCCAGCTTGACGGAACAGGATCTTTCGGCTTCACGCAGGATCTTTCTGCTTCATGCAGGACTACTTCGATGTTGCCCTTGCGAGAGGTTGTGTCAGGGAATTCGGGTTGCGTGCAGCAGCATATACTAGAGTAGAGTCATCATGACTGGGAACACTGCAGCCTTTGAAGATCTTGTATCCTCTAAGATCTTAGGCCATCAGATTCTATGGACAAGGATCGTTCGGGAGCAACGTACCTGCGATTCGCCGCGTCGAACACCCCATGTACGTTGATGTGGGCTTGCCTCTACATGGACGAGCTTATTGGACACAGGTTCGTATTGCGAGGGAGTTGTGGTCGACGGGCACCACGCCGCCTTTTTTAATTTTATTAAATAAAGCTACTGGGTGCACTTCAACAAACTATCGGTCGTGGTCTTTGTTGGCAGTCGCATTTTATTGGCGCAAATTGCGTCATTTAATCAAACTCGACCGCCTGCGCAATCGAGCGTCAACGAGTCCGCCATGCCACGCCACGCTCGTATCCTGCTGCTTGCGACGCTGCTCCTTGGCCTCGCCTCCGTCGTCGTGAGCCACGGCGCCCATGCCCACGCCCATGCCCACGCCCATGCCCACGCCCATGCCCAAGAGGCTAACAGCAACGACGGCAAGCGCTGCCCGTCGTGCAACATGGCGGCCAAGGACAACAACTTTACGTGGTTCACGGAGCTCAACAACGGTCAGAAGATCTACACGTGCGATATGAACACGGGCAACGACTACAAGAAGGGCTCGAGCGCCTTCTCGCACCCCGCGCTTGTCGGCGCCACCTTGGTACGACACATCCACCCCTGCAACTACAACATCTCATTGTATAAACACAGCACGACCTCGCCAACAGCACGACCGTTTGCACCAACACGTGCCCCGAGTGCGACGACGCGTCTACGAGCGTCAAGGATCCGATCAGCGGCGAGACCGTCACGTCCAGTGCGTTTGCGTTCATTTGCTTGAAGCGCGGCCAGAAGATCTACTTTACGACCGAGGCCAACAAGCAGACGTTCCTCGCCGGTCTTGCTGCGTCGCCCGTACGTCGCTCTTGCTGTTTATGGCTCCATACTCATGTGGTCTCTAGTACTTTGGTGTGCGCAACATGTCGTGCGGCGGCGCGACGTGCCCGGACCAGTTTCAAGTGCCCGTCGACGCCTTGTCGACGCCAACGACGGCCCCGGCCACGCCCTCGACGACGACGCCGGCCGCGCTCTCGGACGACACGCCGTTCTGCACGGGCGCGTCGGTCATGTTTTCCGGCTTCCAGACCACGGTGCACGGCACGTGCGTCAAGCTCTTCTTCCAGCCGTGGGTGCTCAACTCGTCGGTCAAGTACGCGTTCGGCTTTCTTGGAGTCTTTGCGCTGCCGCTGCTCAACGAATACTTTGTCCGGACGCGCGAGAATCTGCGCCAGACGTTCCGGAAGCGCAAGGCGTCGAACGGCCAGAAGCGGCTCCACAAGCTCATTTTGACGCTGCTGTACATGATGCAGATGACGCTCGCGTACCTCGCGATGCTTGTCGTCATGATCTACGACACGGGGCTCTTCCTCTCGCTGATTCTGGGCTTTGGCGTCGGCTTTCTCTTCTTCAAGGTCGACAAGAAGGCGCCGGTGACGCGTGACGACGTGGGTGGGATCGCGGCGCCGTGGCGGTTCACCGACTTCAAGACGCTCACGATCCTCCATGCGCCGAGCATGATGTGCATGAAGAACTGCGGCGCGACGGTGACGCAGGCGCTGCAGACCGTCGACGGCGTTGACCGCATCTACATTGACATTGCCGACAAGTGCGTCTATGTCTCTGGCGGCGCCAGCGCCAAGGTCCTCCTCGAGACGCTCGAGAACGTCGGGTACGATGCGACGCTGCTCCACGAGCCAGTCCGGTCCGCGGGCGAGCCGTAGACGTCCACCTTATCTTATCGAATGCACTCTCTCGTTTCTCCAAGTACTTTATATCGATGCACATGTATAGTGTCTATGGTACTATGCGACATGACGTGGTTGACTCTTGATGGAGGCGCGAGCTGGGGCCAGGGTTGCGCGAGCTGGGGCTAGGGTTGCGCGAGCTGGGGCTAGGGTTGCGCTCTATGGTTACGAGAGGCTTGGTCAATGCGTCGCTTCTGTCGGTGCGCTCCTGCTCGCGAGATGGTCGCGACGCTACCAAGGCGTGGGCATCTTGCCCATGCAATGGTAAGATTGGACGTGCAATTGTCGATTAGTCGATTAGTCGATTAGTCGATTAGTCGATTAGTCGATTAGTCGAGTAGGTCATAAAAGCGGGTAGTCTATGCGATAGCGGCGCGGCACTCGGGGCAGTGAGCACCGGCGATGCGACGGACGGCACAGCTAGCGACCCACGTCGTCACACAAGCACGATGCATGTGCCCGCATGGCGTGCGGGAATGTTGCGCGAACTCGCCTTGGCAAAGCGCGCACGGGGGCTCGTGCTTGCTCGACCGCACAAGAAGGACGAGGGAGCGCCAGAGCACCAAGTTGCTGTCGTCGCCGTCGAACTTGTGGCAGCTAGTATTGTCGGGAAGCGTTTTCCAGAGCTGATGAAGTGGCCCGAGTCGGCTTTCTGCCCCAGGAAGCGCCACTCGCAGGCGAAGAAGCCACACGACGTGGCTTTGATCGCTCGGCCGCACATCGGGCAGGGCGGGGTGTGCACCATAATGTTGAAGGGGTTGAAGCGCTGAGGCGAAATGACCTCCTTGTTGAAAGCCTCGCAACCTTGGTAGGTGCACGCGCCATGCACGTTGAGCCCGTGATATACCTTACGCCACGACGGGGCTCTATACGAAAAGCCGATGGAACGCATCGCGTTGGTGTTCGCGACGTCGGCAAACATGGCTGCTGAGCCTCCACCGACTTGTCCTAAGTGGATGACCACCGTGTCCCCCGACGTGACGCCAATGGAAGCCAGAGATTGATCAGCACAATAGCGAGAACCGTCGTGGAAGTAAGCGAAGGAACAGGAGTAGTAGCCCTTCGTCATCAGCGCTTCCGTCGCGACACCGAGCAAGGAGTCCAAATGGACCTTGAGCTTGACGATGCGAAAGCACGGAAGCTGGACAAAGATCGGAACGCTGCCGTCGTCGGTGGCCACATCCGCGGTGCGCAGCATCCATCTCAGGCCACCGTCGTCCAGCGCTGGCACGTACGGGGCAAGCTCTTCATAGTCTCCAAGTTCGAAGTTGTTGAACTTGAGCTCGGCGTCGTGCGCGACGATGCCGGACTCACCGAGCTTGGCGACGAGGAGCGTCTTGAGGTCGCCGATGGTCTTGATCGCTGCGAGCTCGTCGTCGCCAACGTGCAGGACGTCGCAGACGCGGCGCGCTGCCAGCCCACTTGCATCTTGTCCGCAAATTCGCTTTTGGCTGCACGACGGTCGACCGGCCACTTTTTATCGAACGGTCGATTTGGCACCGGTCGAATGACGTGGCACGCTCCTGGGTCCAGCGATGGGCGGGCGACACGTTGATTGGTCCATCAATGTCATCCTGTTTTTTAAATGACTTGAGTATCGTATTGCGTCGAGCAAAATTAGTTAAAATAGACTTCGTCGCGCCAACCCCAGATCGCTCGGCAGGTCCGATCTTCGTCGCGATCCAGACCCAGCGAAATGACTCGATGACCTCACAAGCTACAGCTCTAGCTACACTGGTCGGAGCTTCTGCCATCGCCCACGTTCCCAACTGTGTCATCAGGGCAGTGCAAGACAACGATGGAGATTGCGAGAGCGTCTTCAAGCCAAGAGCGATGCGCTGCTACCGAGGTGCATATCACACAGAAGAACGTAGTCCAGCAAAGTGATTTTGTTTTCAATAGTCATGCAGACAAGAGTAGTCCCAGATTGATCCTGATGATTGTTGTTGTCATTCGGCTCGTTTGGCGTGGTTTACACTCGCGAAGATGGGGCGGATGCGCATGAAGGAGCTGTGTGATCCCTGCAAAATGCGGTCCGCTGCAGGGACATCAAGTTGTCTGAGGGCCAATTCATCGCTCACAGACGAATCGGTCAACGAGAATGGATCCGATAAGATAGGAGAGTATCGCGTCGTGCTTTGAAATCTTCGCCCACAAACAATCACAACTTGAAGTTGTCGGCGATGTGAAGTACATGAAATAGTGTATGACCTGATTCTCGTGGTGCCGAGGGTCCCTGCCATCACGAGAGAAGTTCACTCAACTCTTGGGTTCGGTTGGCATCTAACGCTCCGATTGTCTACGTAAATGGCAAGAAGGGCCGTCGGCATATCCCAGTGCCGCGGGGCAGACCTACAAAAAAGGGGGCTACAAACACTATTTACGTAATAACGTGACTGGAATAGTGTGTTATGGACGCAGGATGCTGGCAGGCTCGCACAACCAAATCAGCCGCGACCACCATGCAGCGCCTCAACCGCATCCAAGGCCACCTCCAGACGCCATCGCCGACCGAAGTCGTCGTCGTCGCGGCGACGCGCACGCCCATCGCCAAGGCCAAGCGCGGCGCCTTTAAGGACACGACGCCGGACGTCTTGCTGCGCCAGGTAGACATACGTCTGTGCAAGGCATGGCCTCAGCGCGCACGCTAGGTGTTTGAAGGCGTTTTGAAGCAGACCAAGGTGGACCCCAAGATCATTGGCGACATCGTTGTCGGTACGTGGCTTGCTTGGAGGATCGCTGCGCTCACGAGCGTCGCACATATGATAGGCAACGTGCTCCAGCCCGGCTCGGCGGCCGTGGGCGCCCGCATGGGCCAGCTCTGCGCGGGCATTCCCTATACTGTCCCGCTCAACTCGGTGAACCGGTACGCCTTTGGATGCGGCGAACCATCCGGTCACACTCGGTCGTATCTAGCCAATGCTCGTCGGGCCTGCAAGCCTTTGCCAACGTCGCGGCAGCCATCCAAGCGGGCTACTACGACGTCGGGCTTGCTGCGGGCGTCGAGTGCATGTCGCTGACGGACATGGGCGGCAGCGCTCCGGACGTTGCTTGGGAGGACGTACGTCTTGCATTTATCTCTCATCGCTTCATGCACGAGATGCTCGTATGCATCAATGCACAAATGGATATCACACGTAGGTGTACGCGAACGAAGGGGCAAAGAACTGCACGGTCTCGATGGGCCTCACGAGCGAGAACGTGGCTGCCAAGTATGGCATCACGCGGACGCAACAGGTACTCTGCCTCTCCATCTCGTTACCTCGACCGACAATCTCATGGCGCTGGCGATAGGACACGTTGGCGGCAGCGTCGCATGCCAAGGCGGCCGCGGCGCAAGCGGCGGGTCGCTTTGACGCCGAGATCACGCCCGTCGTGCTCAAGACGGACGATGGCAAGGAAGTTGTCATCTCCAAGGACGAAGGCGTCCGCGCCGGCACGACTGTTGAAGGCCTCGCGAAGCTCCGCACGTCTTTCAAGGAGAACGGGACGACGACGGCTGGTACAGAGCATCGAGTATGATGATCTTTCCACAACATGCCCTGTCTATGCAGGCAACTCGAGCCAAGTCAGCGACGGCGCGGCGGCCGTCCTTGTCATGACGCGTGCGATGGCCGAGAAGCTCCAGCTGCCGATCCTCGGCACGTTTGTCTCGTACGCGGTTCGTGCTTCTTTCTGCATCTCCTACTACGGCAGACGCTCATTCAGTTTCATGCCAGGTGGCGGGCGTGCCACCGGAGATCATGGGCGTCGGTGCGTCCTTCGCTCCTTGACACGAGAAGGCTCATGGCGGCGGCTGCGTAGGCCCGGCGTATGCGATTCCTGCGGCGCTTGCCAAGGCCGATCTCCGCATCGAAGACATTGATGTGTTTGAGATCAATGAAGCTTTCGCGAGCCAAGTACACGCCTCCAACCTCTTGCCATGCGTGGCTAACGACGGGCTAGGCCTTGTACTGCATCCACGAGCTCAAGATTCCCATGGAGAAGGTCAACCCGAACGGTAATCGATGCCATCTACGCACGGTTCCGGCAATCTCATGGCACTCGGTGGTGGTCGTTAGGCGGCGCCATTGCGCTTGGCCACCCACTTGGCTGCACGGGCGCCCGGCAGATTGCGACGCTCCTCCACGAGCTCCAGCGGACGCAAAAGACGTACGGTGTCATCTCCATGTGCATTGGCACGGGCATGGGCGCCGCGGCTGTCTTCAAGCGCGCGTAACCACAGCTGTCGTAGTACCAGTCAATAATGCACACTGTTGTCTGCGATATATTGAAACAAACACTATTTCTGTTTAACGTGTCGGAACATTATTTCAGTTTTATAAATGGTGTTCTGTACACTATTTGAATTGTCGTACGGATCCGGATACCGCTTGTGCCAAGGCGAGAGGCCGTCATCGTGGTGGTTTTTGGCTCCTCGTTCGAGCACACGCAGAAGTCGCCCGAAGCCCGCAACAGAAGCAACCATGGCCAGCGCCAAGAAGCTCGACCTCTACTCGATCCTCGACGTCCCGCCCCATGCGTCCATGGACGACGTCAAGGCCGCCTACCGCAAGCTCGCACTCCTCCATCACCCCGATCGCAAGGCCCCGCAGGTAGACAATGCCATGAGCGGTGCCATCATGTGCTCATGCGTGCCGCTGCGTTAGGGCTCGATTCCCAGCGGCGCGTCCAGCTCCTTCTTCCAAGATGTCAACGAAGCCTATGATACCTTGAGCAGTGTCGAATCGCGCACGCAGTACGATCTCAAGACGTATGGCATGTCGACGTTCGCGACCGTTGGCTCCACGGACGGCGTCGTCAAGGACGATGGCTACAAGCGCATGACGTCCGAGGACGTGAACCGCCTCATGGCCAACGCCAACTCGTTTGATCGCTTTACGACGGCTGAGTACCACCGCCAACGGTCCGTCATGGCCCCCAACGCCATTGGGCGTCGAGCGACCGACTTTGCCGAGCGCAAGCAGTTCCGTTCCAAGGCTGTGCCCCTCCCGACGAAGAACGCGACGATCGGCTGGCTCGTGGTTCCTGTTTTGGCGCTAGGCCTCTGGGCGGTGAGCGTCAACTCCATGTGGCAGGGCATCAAGAAGCCCATGGCGCCGACTAAGCGACAGTAGATGTGCCCATCATGTGAATAAACACCGTATCCTATTGCAGTCCTGTGCTTCTTCCCTCGTGCCATATATGTCATCCAGGAAGACTTTGACGCATCATTGACAACGCATGTTATATAGGGCAAAACTGCTTGCCACAACCTTAGTACTCCTCGCCGTATTCCATGTCTTCGCCATCGCCTTCCTGCGTCTCGGCCGAGACTTCTTCGTAGTCCTTCTCGAGGGCAGCAAGATCTTCACGAGCCTCCGAGAACTCGCCTTCTTCCATCCCTTCACCGACATACCAGTGGACGAACGCGCGCTTGGCGTACATCAAGTCGAACTTGTGGTCAATGCGCGAGAAGACCTCAGCGATGGCCGACGTGTTGGAGATCATGGCGACAGCACGCTGAACACGCGCCAAGTCACCGCCCGGGACAACGGTCGGCGGCTGGTAGTTGATGCCGCACTTGAAGCCCGTGGGGCACCAGTCGACAAACTGGACCGTACGCTTGTTCTTGATGGTCGCGACGGCGGCGTTGACGTCCTTGGGGACAACGTCACCGCGGTACATGAGGCACGCCGCCATGTACTTGCCGTGGCGCGGGTCGCACTTGGCCATCATGGACGAAGGTTCAAAGCACGAGTTTGTGATCTCGGCAACAGAGAGCTGCTCATGGTAGGCCTTCTCCGCGCTGATGACGGGGGCGTACGACGAGAGCATGAAGTGGATGCGCGGGTACGGGACGAGGTTCGTCTGGAACTCGGTGATATCGACGTTGAGCGAACCATCGAAGCGGAGCGACGTCGTGAGCGACGAGATGACCTGGGCAACGAGACGGTTCAAGTTGGTGTACGACGGGCGCTCAATGTCGAGCGAGCGCTTGCAGATGTCATAGATGGCTTCGTTGTCAAGCATGATGGCGACATCGGTGTGCTCCAAGAGCGAGTGGGTCGAAAGGACCGAGTTGTACGGTTCAACAACGGCCGTCGAGACCTGCGGCGACGGGTAGATCGTGAAGCCGAGCTTCGACTTGCGGCCATAGTCGACCGAGAGACGCTCGAGAAGGAGCGAGCCGAGGCCCGAACCGGTACCACCGCCGACAGCGTTGAAGACCATGAAGCCCTGGAGGCCCGTGCAGTTGTCCGCAAGCTTGCGCACGCGATCGAGGACCTGGTCGACAATCTCCTTGCCGATCGTGTAGTGACCACGAGCGTAGTTGTTGGCGGCGTCTTCCTTGCCCGAGATGATCTGCTCCGGATGGTAGAGCTGGCGGTAGGTGCCCGTACGGACTTCGTCGCAGACCGAGGGTTCAAGATCGACAAAGACAGCACGAGGGACATGCTTGCCGGCGCCGGTCTCGCTGAAGAAGGTGTTGAAGGCGTCGTCGCCACCGCCGATCGTCTTGTCCGAGGGCATCTGGCCATCGGGCTGGATGCCATGCTCGAGGCAGTAGAGCTCCCAGCAGGAGTTACCGACCTGGATACCGCCCTGGCCGAGGTGAATGGAGAGGATCTCGCGCATGTTGGTCCTAGGAAGAGCCATGAGGATGGGGGCTTCCTCGGGGCATGGGACGTACGCTGGTGGAGGAAGCTGCGGGTGCGAAAGCGGTTGTGATGGACGCTTGCACCGAAAAGCGAAAGTGGGAAAGGGGTTTGCCGACCCATTTGAATTTTGAATCGTCAAACGGCGTTTTGGCCAATCAGCGCGCGCGAGGCTAAAGCACGGCCAATCAGCGACGCAGGATCACTCATGCCTCCCTTCCGGCGGAGATTGCGCGCCAGCCAATCCGCGCTGCGCAGAACTCAATATTCACGGCGTCCGCATCGGTGATTGGATGAAAAGAGAGCCAGGAACCACCCCGAGCCCTATACAGACCATCAAAAAGAACGTGTGGGCGAGACGCGCACATCGGGTTTTAAACAGAGTTTGGACAGCGTGATTGATTCACACAGTGTTTTCGCTCAATGCGTGATCCAGTGTCTTGCTTGAGCAGCCATCCTTGGAGGTAGTGTTCCGATTGATACAAGATATGTAGCCTCCGCGATAGTACTACACAGAGCGCCCATGACGTACCATGCAGAAATCATCTCGGCGCAGTGCAAGATCCAAGATTTGGATTCGCGCGGGAAGGTCGCGGACGCAGCCACGTAACAAGACATGCCACGGTGCGAGGACCAGTGAGAAAGCCGAATGACACCGATGTCGCGAGTGCGCGTGCACGTCACCCTCCCAAGTCGCCGATCCTGCATCAGCGACTGCGCAACTGACCGCGCCGCTCCGTGCCACGCAGGACGATGCTTGGGAGTATAATACAGTGTAATGATTTGTCGCGTCCAATACAGTGTATAATACGGTGTCGGGCGTCGACGGGCCTACCGGGCTTGGTGTATTTTATTCCATACAAACATCAAGGTAAATACAGTTCAACAACATTAAAATACGGTCCTCAAATGTGATTGGTGTGTTTTGACCCACGCGTTCGCTTCCTTGAAGCTGATCGGCGCGCGGGCTTTCGCCCAGTTGGTGCCCCGGTGCCACGGTGCTTTTCTTTGGCGACAGCAGCGTCTTTGGGGTCTACGAGCACCCAACCCCACGACTATGTCCCTTGTTTTTAGCTCGCTCGCGGGCTTTTCTGCCCCATACGCCGGCGTCCTTAATCGCCCAAGAGCTCAGTCTTGCTAAGATGGAAGCCGAGCTGCCGCTTCCATAGCCCTAGCAAATGACTCTACATACTGCACATTAGAAACCAGCGAGAATGCGTGCTTCGACAGCCGGATTGACCTTCAAGCCGCTCTTCAAGCTTGCCCATCTTGGTCACGCATGGGCTGTGTAAAAACACGCAACTCGCCGCTCCAACGCCCGTTCCTGTTCATGTCCTGCATGGCATCCCAACGGTCACTCCTTGGTAAAAGGCTCATACTGCTAACGACTAGATGTACGTCTATCGCGAGTCCATGCTGATGAGGTAAAGACGATGCGTCCATCTTCCTCGTAGTGGTCATGGCCGCGTAAGGGACGGGCAGGAAGTGGCGTGTCAATAGACAAGCCGCAGCCGCGTCTGGATACGAAAGCAGCCAATCACGCGCGCGGATTTCCCTCCCAAACGAAGACGATGGCACATGATTGGCTGCGTCGTTGACGGTACGCAGACGACGACTGCCATTTTCACTTTTGCTTCTTCGAGCTCATTGACCTAACAACAATGCGCGAGATCCTCTCCATTCACCTCGGCCAGGGCGGTATCCAGGTCGGTAACGCCTGCTGGGAGCTCTACTGCCTCGAGCATGGCATCCAGCCCGATGGCCAGATGCCCTCGGACAAGACGATCGGCGGTGGCGACGACGCCTTCAACACCTTCTTCAGCGAGACCGGCGCCGGCAAGCACGTCCCGCGCGCTGTCTTCGCCGATCTTGAACCCTCGGTCTGCGACGAAGTCCGCACAGGCACCTACCGCCAGCTCTACCACCCGGAGCAGATCATCTCGGGCAAGGAAGACGCCGCCAACAACTACGCCCGTGGTCACTACACGATCGGCAAGGAAATCGTCGATGCCATCTTGGACCGTGTGCGCAAGCTCGCGGACAGCTGCACGGGCCTCCAGGGCTTCATGGTCTTCAACGCTGTCGGCGGTGGTACCGGTTCGGGCCTCGGCTCGCTCCTCCTCGAGCGTCTCTCGGTCGACTATGGCCGCAAGTCGAAGCTCGGCTTCACGATCTACCCGTCGCCGCAGGTCTCGACGGCCGTTGTTGAACCGTACAACTCGGTCTTGGCCACGCACTCGCTCCTCGAGCACACGGATGTGTCGATCCTCCTCGACAACGAAGCCATCTACGACATCTGCAAGCGCTCGCTCGACATTGAGCGCCCGTCGTACACGAACCTCAACCGCTTGATCGCGCAGGTCATCTCGTCGCTCACGACGTCGCTCCGCTTCGATGGTTCGCTCAACGTCGATATCACCGAGTTCCAGACGAACCTCGTCCCGTACCCGCGCATCCACTTCATGCTCTCGTCGTACGCGCCGGTAATCTCGGCCGAGAAGGCCTACCACGAGCAGCTCTCGGTCGCCGAGATCACCAACTCGTGCTTCGACCCGCTCTCGATGATGGCCAAGTGCGACCCGCGCCACGGCAAGTACATGGCGGCGTGCCTCATGTACCGCGGTGATATCGTCCCCAAGGATGTCAACGCCGCCGTCGCGACCATCAAGACCAAGCGCACGATCCAGTTTGTCGACTGGTGCCCCACGGGCTTCAAGTGCGGCATCAACTACGAGCCGCCGACGGTCGTGCCCGGTGGCGATCTCGCCCGCGTCCAGCGCGCGTGCGCCATGATCTCCAACACGTCGGCCATCGCCGAGGTCTTCTCGCGCATCGACCACAAGTTCGACTTGATGTACGCCAAGCGCGCGTTCGTCCACTGGTATGTCGGCGAAGGCATGGAAGAAGGCGAGTTCTCGGAGGCCCGTGAAGATCTTGCTGCCCTCGAGAAGGACTACGAAGAGGTCTCGGCCGAAAGCCAGGACGGCGAGGACATGGACTACGGCGAGGAGTACTAAATGCTTTCTTCAACGAATACCCCCAGTTTTGAATTGGCCCAAAAGTCATCGTCTACACTGTCTTAATAGAGCTGAGAGCTGAGGTATCTCGAGGCTGCCGAGGCCGTTGGCATATTGCTTCTTGGACCGGGAGAATAGGAGTCGAGCAGAGGAGCCGGGCATTTGCATCTGTCGGTGCGTCGTACCGATTCCATCTACACTGTACGCGGTACGTACATACATGCACTGCTGCACTGCACATGCTACTCCCAGCTGTGCTGCTCCTGCAAAGCCAACACAGGCCGGATCAGCACCTGCTCCATGCATAAGATGACTCAGAGGCGTCCGTGTGGACGTGCTGGCAGCTTCCTGCGGTCGGCCGCCGACCGATGTCGGTTTGTTTCGTTTGTTCGTGCAGTGCGTAGAGTCGCCACGTCGAGGATGCTGGTGAGCGTGGCAGGGACCAGTCCTCGGTTGCAATCTTCAAGGATTGGGCGTGCGACGAGGGCCACGAACGTGCCAGCTCAGCGCTCGCAAAGACACGCACGCCGCTGTACCTGGCCGGGACGGCGCCCGCGCACAGCACCGCCGCAGCGCGTCCTTGCACCCAAGGTCATCATCGCGTACAGACTACGCATCGCCCGTTGCCTCGTGCGTCCGGCGTCGGTTCCGTAGCATCCGTCCGTTGCGCCTATCATCGCGGCTTGGTGATAAAATGGAGATGGCGGCCACAACATACATTCTCCAAGTGATCGCAGGAGGCGGAAATGAATAATTGGTCGCAGTGCTCAAAATGGCCATTATCCAGAAGCTCCATCGCGCGGTGCTGCAGGCGGTCGGCGGCGGCCGTGGCCGCGCCCTTAGCCTCCAGGAAATCGAGCCGATCAAAGCGCTCTGCGATGCCATCCTGCCGATCCATGGTACGCCCGTGGATCTGGCGACGCTTCGCGACTCACTGCAACCTAGTCGGCCTCGACGTGCCGACGCCCGCGACCGCCGAGACGCTCTACCGTGGCTCCAAGGCGATTCGCTACATCCACATCTACGAAGACCGCGACGTCTCGATCGGGTACGTCGTCGTGCGCACTCTGCATGGTAGCCTCATCGATGCCTAGGATCTTTGTCCTGCCCCCCGGCGCCACGATCCCGCTGCACAACCACCCGGACATGAGCGTTGTCTCCCGGCTGCTCTACGGCTCGCTCCATGTGACGGCCTACGACTTGGTGCCCGCCGAGGCCAACGATGCGTTCTGGGCCGCGCACGACCCGGGCGATGACCCGCCGTCCATTTGGCGGCGCAAGAAGAAACTCCTGCTTGCGCAGCAGCGGCAAGACCGCACGGTGCAAGCGCCGTACACTACCGAGCTCCTTCCGCACAAGGGCAACCTCCACGAGTTCACATCGGGCAGCGACATTGGCTGTGCGATCCTCGACGTGCTCACGCCCCCGTACGACCCAAGGTATGAGCCATTTCCATCTCGTACAGGCTTCATCGTCGATATATAGCCGTGGTCGCGACTGTACGTATTACCGCGTGGCAGCCGCACTGGAGCCCACGCCGGACGACAGCGACCCGATCGTTGCGCTCGAGGCCACGCCGGCGCCGCCCCACTCGTTTGACATTGTCAACCTCGCATACCACGGTCCGCCCGTCCTTGAGTGAGCCCGACGATGGCACACCGACCGTCGCCAGTGTATAGAGATAGAGAACTAGATGTCGCCGCGATGTACGAGGCACCAGTCGCCGCGGCGATGGCCGCACCGACGTACCGTGGGCCTAATCGGAGGCGGTATACTCGTATAGTGTTGACAAGCGCGTTGGCCTCTGCAAGCCGCCGATGATGCATATCGAGTTACGCTACGTTTTACAGAAATGCGCTGTCGCCAACATGTCTATGGTTCACCAAAGACAGTTCGAAACCCAGTCTAGTGCACGAGGTGCTCGTAGCGTGCGAGGAGCCGCGCAATAGGGCACTCGCGACGGTGTGCGCCGTGCTCGCCGTGGCATGCGACGCAGATGCTGGTTGCCAGCGCATCGAGGAGGTCGGCCGCGTCAGCCGCCCAGGCGTCAACATGATCGTTCTTGTCGCTGTAGTCCTCGAGGGCGAGCGGGTTTTCATCGTCGTCGTTGCTGTCGTCAGTCTCGTCGAGGGGACTCCAGAGGTACCGCAGTTGCTGCACGAGGTGCACGTGGTGCGGCACCTGAAACGCCGCGCCCAGCACGCTCTTCTCTTGGCCCGTCGCCCACGCGTGCAGGTCGTGCTCGGGCGTCGCGTAGCCGCCGATCGCGCATTGGCCCACGATCGCCGCGAACGTCGGCATGAGGTCCTCGATACGCAGAAGCGCATCGAGCAGCGCTTGCTGGACGCGGCTGAAGCCAAAGCTGGCTTTGGCCACGTTGTGCTCGGGTCGAAGCGGGTCTTCAACGACGACCACGTCGCCGGCGCCGTGCAGAAAACCGTCGACCAGTGGGATTAGGGGGCTACGCACGCGCGTCAGCGCCACCGACAGGCCGCATGACGACGTACCCGCCGTGGGTGCTCCGGACGAACCACTGCTGCGGATCAAAGTCGCGGCCAAAGAGCTGCAAAAAGTGCAGGAGAAGCTCGCCGAGGTTGGGTCGGTGCGCGGGCGCGACCAGCTGTAAGGGGCGGAGCACGCTCGCGAGCAGCAGCGTCAGCGCGTACGACGAGAGACCGCCCGAGTAGCCTGGAAAATATCAATCTATCGACGTCCAAATAAGACAAGCGGCGTACTGTCGTTGAGGTCGTGCTCTAGTAGCAGCTGCTTGAGCACGAGCATGAGCGGAGGCAGCTCGGGCAAGACTGACACGAGGCGCTGGACGTACATGCACGTCTCGATGCCGCGGTGCTGCGGCTGGTCAAAGCTGATGTCGAGTCGGATGACGCCCTGCGCGTCACCAAACGACGAGGGTACGGCGGCGGTTGTCACTTTTACAAGCGGAATCGTTGTGCGCTCAATGACCTGGATCGCCTGCACCCAGGGTTCGTGCCGAAGGAGCGACGCCAGAAGCTCGACGCTCGAGGTGCGCTTGCGGTCGTACGCGGCGCCGGTGATGAGCAGGTCTACGTCCGACTTGGGGCAGCTCAGGCCGGTTGCGAACGAGCCAAAGACGTGGACCTCGGCGTTGGGCCAGAGCCGCGCAACACACTCCTATTGCAGATATCCAAGATAGCAAGAATACTATCCAAGATCGTGGATACTTTGAGGTGCGTCACGACACAAATCTGCCACGGGCGACGGCGACTCACAATGTCCTGGAGCATGGCGTACATGTCAAGTATGTCATCGTGAAGCGCGAGCGTGAACGTCTCGACGAGTGACGCGTCCGATCGCAGCACAGCTACGTGTGTTGTGGTGACGCGCCACGCAACGAAGCATGACATACCCATCGACGACGATGACATCGGCGGCATCACCAAGTAGTCGTCGTTGGCGTCCGGCAGCTGGTACACTTGACAGCTACTGTCACCACTCGAGCACGTTGACGCGGTCTCGGGCGACTGGACCACGAACGTTGGTGACGACGGGTTGAGCTTGGACGATGCGCTCGTGACGGGCGCTGTCGCGTCCTCCTCCATGTCCACGCGGTCGTCGCCATATGTGTCGTTGCTGTGGCGGCTCGTTGCGGGCGAGGTCGCAGCCTTCTTCTCGCCCCGCTTCTTGCTTTTCGGGCGCCGGGTTTTGGCCGGCTTGGGTCCACTGTCCTTGGTGCGAAGCAAGCGCGCCGACTTTTGCTCTGTCGCCGCCGCCTACGTGCTGTACGTGGGACCGCGGAATGGTTATGGTATGAGTCGTACTTGGAGATCGTGGCCAATCTCGCGTGCGACCAAGTCGATCGCCGTGCCGCACCGACTCAGCGTCGATGTATACAGCGACTCGGCGACGAAGCGTGCGTCATTGAGCACGTTGTTTTCGAGCTCGTCGAGGAGCTGGTGGCCAGCCAAGTGCAGCAGCATCTCGCTCTCGGGGATGTCGGCAGCGTTGCGGAGGCGCTGGATCCGCTCAGGCATTGGAGAGGTGAGCAGTTCTTTCTGGTCGGCCTCGGACGTGTGTTCCCAGAGCCAAAGCAGGCGATCAAACCGCGCCGAGAGCGTCAGCGAGCGCGCCACCGTGCCCCGAAACACCTCGATCAAGTGCTCGAGGACGCGCAGCGCCACGAACGCCGACAAGGTCGTGGCCTCGGGGTGCCTACGCTGGTGCTCGAACGCCGATGGTGGTCCTGACACGATAACGTACGCAGATCGCCTGTCATCTTGACACCCCGGTGGACCCAGCCGACGGTATCCGTGTTGCAAGACCTGTCATTTGGTGACGCTAAGAGGATGTGTATGGCGATAGAAGACGTACGAGCTCGAGCAAGTGCTGGAAGGCGCCTTGGCGTATGCAGCCGCTGCGCTTGATCCAGCACCCGTCCGCGTACGTATCGTGGTCCCATAGCCGTACGCTGGCGAGGAGTTGGCGGCTTGCCGACATGAATGCTGCGTTCGCACTAGGTTCCAGGTGTCAGCGACAGGACGTGTCGACAAGAACGGACCGTGGCGACGCTGTCGTCTCGTCCACCGCCGAAGCGTGCAACGAGGCCCACGGCACAAACGCACAGCGCTCGAGCAGCGGCGTAGTCGGCTTTGGATCGCGCTGCTTGCCTCGACTAAACGACAAATTGATCGAGTCGCAACAAGAGGCAGGTATGCTTACCTTGGCTTCTTGGTGGTGTTGGCATCCACGGTGCTGGGCACGACGAGGAAGACGCCTACGCAGAGTTGTCCAGACTTGGGCTTGCGGCTCCGACATACCATCTTCGTGCTTGCGGTCGAGGACGACCGAGTGCAAGGTCCGCAGCATACCGATCCACGGCGCATCGACAAAGCAAAGCACCTACTCGTCGCCTGAGCTCCTGTCGGGTGATCGTCGGAGTACGTCGTGCTGGTCTTCGTAGCCCAAGGCTTCAAACCACGCCCACATTGGCGCCCAGTGCGCGGGCGACGTCGCGGCGTATGGATGCCGCGGGGCGTCCGCGTACTGCGGCAGTGTCAGAGAGCGTACGTGGCGCTCCAGCATTGGCGAGCGCGGTGGCCGGCCCAGCGCAGACGCCATGACACTAGTGAGTGCTCGACCTTTCTGGGCGCAAGATATGTTCCACGCGACGGTGCGCACCTCGTTTTAACGACTACAACGATAAGGGTTACGCACTAAGATCGTGTTTAAACCCATGGAGAAGAGCATTCTTGGCTGAAATCGAGGTCCGTCGAAATTCGAGCAACTACAAGCCTTCGATATTCTAAAAATAGATTGCTACATGAGCAAGAAGAGAATCTCTTCTTGTTAATGAGCTGCACCCTGTACGGTGGAGGGTGGACCAACCAACGCTATCGTCCATGGCGGAAAGGTGGCTGCGGCCCCTAGCAGCTTGGAAACGGACGCTGACGACGCAGTAGACTAGTAGGATGACCCACAACATTGCCCGAACATGCGATTCGCATCCGCGCAAGGCCAACAAAGTAGATAATGCCCAATGTCTGTATGCTTCAACGTGCGGCGGCTTAGCTGGGATTTGAGCTCGGATGCATGTTTTTGTGTGCTATGGCCAAGGGAAATCGGGTCTGGCCATGGTCACTAGCACCGTACGACTAGTAACGTTAGTACACGATGTGTGTCTATGGCACGACTGCCATTCGATCTACCACGACAGCGGTAAAGGTCAGCACGGTGTGGGGAAGCTGCTGCTTGGGCTTTGAACAACTGACAGGTCGGGGACGCTGTGGAACACTGACGGTACAGCTGCAGGAGCGGTTTCGCGCCACGGCGAGACCTGTCGTGTGATTGGCTGTTCAATTGCGCTGTGTGGCCAATCCTGTCCACACAAGGCGCTGCATTTTAGCCAATGAAAAAGGGTGGAGACGGCCACCCAATTCCGACTGCTTGGTGGAACGAGTGAATTGGAGCCGACGTCGTGGATGAGCACCTACGCCCTGAGCGGACGCGAACGAGAGACCGCGCGCCTCGAGCGCTCGATCGCCGAGCTGCGCCGCGTGGCCAGCCAGACGTACGAGCAGGACAAGGCCACGGACCTCCTCTCGCGGCTCCGCCAAGCCTCGTCCGGCGACAGCACATATATCCAGGAAGACGCGACATCGCGATGGAACGCGCAGGTCCAGCCGACATCTGACATTAGCCCATGGCCGCCGGCGCTGCGACCGCTGGTTTCGTCGCCCGGCGCCAAGTTTGGCCTCTTCAAAGCTCTCAAGCACGCATGGCTCATCGCTGGCCCGACCGTGTACCTCTGGGACTATACGTCGTCCAAGGGCACCATCGTCACGTGCCCCGCGATGCCCGATCCCGTGCTCGCATGCGGCGTCACGCAGCCGCTGAGCGGCTCGCTGTTTAGCGACGTTGTCCAGCACCTTTTGGTGGTCGTCACCGAGACGGAAGTCCGCGTTCTCGCGTTGGTCGCTGACAAGACCACGGGTAGCTTCAAGGTGCAGGATACGCTCATGAACGCGCCGCTTCCGTCGACGACGCTGCTCTCGACAGTCGTGTGCACGCCGTCACGACGCATCTTGCTCGGCGGCGTCGACGGCGCGCTCTACGAGTATGTCTACCATCCCCATTTGCCCAAGCCGCCGACGACCGAGAAGGCGCGCTCGGTGCGCGTCGCCACGTCGCACTGGAACCAGTACCTCCCGCCGCTCGTGCGCGATCTGCTCGCCCCCGCGCGGTCGGCGATCACGCAGCTGCTCTACGACGACGCGCGCCACGTTATCTACGCGCTGCATTCGTCCGGACACGTCTCGGTCTACGATGCGCGCACCAAGGACATTGTATGTGTCACGTACACGATCATCGACGCGTCCATCGTGTCGCTGAGTCTCGTGAGTGACGGCGACGCGTCAATCCACGCGGTCGCCATCACGTCGGCGGGTGTCCGGCTCTTCCTCTCGACCTCGCAGACGCTGCACGGGCCGCCCGACACGTGCATGGTTGTGTTTACGCGGCCGCCGCCGCCCTGCGTCACCGTTGTGGACCGTGCGGTCTATGCGTCCGGCGTCTCGTTCTTTGGGCACAAGTCGACGCTCGTGTCGGCGGCGGCCGACGTGGGCCTCGCCACGTCGTACCGCGAGCTCGTACGGTCGCACGCGCTCCTTGGTGGGCACATGGTCGTCGAAGAAACCTCGGTCGTCCTCGCTTCGCCCGCGGGGCTGCCGTCGCTCAAGCGCAGCGCGTCGGGCGCGTCTCTGCCGTCGTCACTGGACTTTTTACGCATCAGCCGCCACGAACTCTCGACGCAGTTTACATCGACGACGCCGCGGGCGTTTGTGTCGCTCTCGGAAGGCGGCGTGCAGTGCTGGCACAAGCAGCGCCCGCTCGACCACCTCCGGCACGTCCTCACGCACGCACCGGGTCCGCTCACGCGCTCGTCGCCCATGGTCGCGTCGTACGGGCCCCATGCAATTGCGTGCATGCTCTTTGCTCTGGCCTGCGATCCATCGCCGCCGCGCCCGCCGGCGCACCTCATGTCGCTTGTGTTTGACATTGGCGGCCACCCGGACGGCAGCGCGCACTCGGACCACTACAACGGCCTCGTGCGCGTCCTCGTGCGCTTTCTCAGCGGCATTTGGCACGCCGCGCTTGCCAAGGCGACGACCAAGGGCGCGGCGTCGGCGACGTTTACGCCGGCCTTGTCGAAAGACGAGATTGCGCGGCCACGCGATTTGCTCTGTCGTCTCAAGCAGCTCTTGGAGCACGTGGCCGTGCCGTACGCTGTCGCGGTCCATGCCACGTCGTCGTCGTCGTCCGATGGTAGCATGATTGCGACCGAGCAGCGGGCGCTGCAGGACATCCACGCGCTTCTCGGGCGCTGCATTGGCGCGTGCGAAGGCCTCCTCTTGGTCTACGCGCACCCGACCGCGTTCAGCCATGTGGCCAACCTTGCCTTCTACGACGTCGTGTGCACGGAGCTTGGCGCCAAGGCGCTCCAAGCTATGCTGCGCGACGTCGCCAAAGAGACGCCGTTGGTGGTGCCGACCGCGCTCGCGCGCTGCAGTGCGTTTTTTACTTTGGTGGACGCTGGCGTGTTCCAGGGCACGGACGCGCTGACGCGGGCCAAGGCGGCGGCGACGCCGTCGGCGCGGGACGCTGCGTTGAACGAGTCGCTCACCAAGCTCGTGGCGGCGGCGCCCACGTGGCCCCCCACCGCCGAGACCATCGAGCACCTTGGTCGCATCGCCAAGGACTATGAGCTCTGTTCGTTCTGGAAGGGCCTCGTGGGCCTCGCCGTGGCGGTCGCTGCGCGCTGGCCGCTGCACTCGGCCGACCAGAAGGCATGCTACAGCGGTGTCCTGGATGCCCTCGCGCACGTGGCCGAGCACAACGACGTGGCGTCGGCACAGTCGATTGTCGGTCTTGTGGTCGGTACGACTGACGTGCACCTGCAACAAGTTGTGCTGGAATGGGTCGTCTCGAAAGGGCACAAGACGTGGCTGCTTCACTGCCCATTGACGCCGACAGTGCGGACGGTCTTGGCGGCCGACGTCGACTGGCTCGCCGCGCTCTGCTTGGAGCACCACGAGTACGAAGAGGCTGCGACGGTGCTCTGGAAGGCGGCGCATGACGTCAGCGCCACGCACAGCATTGGCGACCGCACGGCCTGGGTCGCACGCGCCCTCAGCAGCATCCAGCACACAACCAACGCCCAGCACGCCAAGGACATTCAAGATGCACTCGACGTTTTTCAGACGCAGGTATGTACTTTCTATCAATGTATCAATGTCTCAACTGGACGAGCATAGACGCGGCTGGCGACGGCGTTCCGGCAGCACAACCTCGGGTCCGACGCCGTGCGACACACACTCGAGTTTGAGATTCTCGACATGTCGACCTTGTACCACGAGTATGCGATGCCGTACGAGCGCTACGAAGACTGCCTCCGCATCATGCACGCGTGCCGCTTCTACGTACGCGTTCCATTGTTTCATGGCCGTATCAATCTTTCAACGAAATAGGAACCCGAGACGATTGTGATGCTGTGGAAGAAGGCCTTGTACTCGCTGCTGCCGCAAGTCGCCGACCGCGACGCTGCTGCGCCCATTGCCAAGTGGCTCGACGAGGCATATGCGGCCGCGGGCCTTGGCGACATCGTGTCCATGTCGAGTGCATTTGAAGCCTGCGAGTGGACGCGGAGCGTGAGTCATCTCGTTGTGTCGCTGGGCCGCGCGCTGCACCCGTCGCCGGTCTTTCCGATCGAGTGGCTTATCACGGAAGTCGAGACGATCGCGATGCACGCGTGGTCGCTCGGGCACCACACGTCGCCGTTCACGCCCGTGCATCTGTTCGTCGACCTGGGCATGCCGGCTTCGGACGTGCTGGCATGGTACTTGCACCTCTTTGGCAGCAGCACGGACGCCGCATTCAAGGTCCAGCTGCTCTGGAGCCTTCTGGCGCTGCGCCCGGGTGTCCCGACGTTGCCGTCGACGTACCAAGACACGATGGCACATGCCCGCAACTGGCTCGTCACGCACGCCCCCGGTACGATCTTACACTTTTGCGATTGTTGATGGTCTTGTATGTAGACCAAGTGGACCTTGTCGCGCAGCTTCTCGCGTAGTGGGACTTGAAAGATAAGAGGAGCCCTGTGATTCACTTGGGTGCGTGGGTGTTGTGGGGCTTGTGCGTCTGCAAGCACACCGGACCGAAGCCAACCGCCGTTGACGTGGAACTGCTCTTTGATACGACACTGGGTTGTTGGGCCAAGATGGTGCAGGCGCCGACCACAGACGCCACGCAACTTGGGGAAAACACGCTGTTACCGACTTAGAACTTTTGTAGTGTGAGCCGGAGGTGGAGTGCACCGGCCTCGATCGTCTTGTTCTTGAGTACGCGGTCTCGGGTCTTCTTGCTCAGGACACCGAGCGCCGTCTCCTTGACCATGACGCCAAACCCATGCAGCGGGCGAATGATAACGCCGGCCATGCCGAGCCCGACGCCTTTTGCAAACCCACCAAAGCCACTCGACTTGGCCCCGCGGATCGGGTCCTTCCACATGCCGGTAATGCCGGTGACGACGCCCTTGGTGAGCCTACGATACAAGTGGAGCGATATGGGGTAGGGTGCACGGCGTACCCTTCACCAGCCGCCACCATGTGATCGCCAAAGTTGCGCGGCCACTCCTTGGGCATGGTCGCCGCATACCACACGTTCGATGGCTTTGTGGCGTCGAGGACGCGGAGGCGGTCGGCGTCAATGACAAAACTGCCCATTTTGCGGTCCGGCTGCAGCTTGTTGAAATCATAGACCTACAGTTCGCCAGTGAGCACAACTTGTCTATCGATTGCACGACAATAAGGACCTGCACGACGAGCGGCGACTGGCCGTCCCACGAGAGCCGAAGGGTTTCATGCCACTTTGGGTGCAGCGACTGCTTGACGCAGTGACTCGAGATGACTTGCTCGCCGAGCCGGAACGACACGTACGGGTCCGAGCTGCCGCCGACATCCATCGCCACCAAGTCGGCGCCTTGAACGAGCTCGATCGTAAGGATACCGACGTACTCGACCATGCCATGGGACCCGTGCGAGCTCGCGGCCGCATCTAGATGCAAATGTCAATCTTTCAAGTTGTCAAGTGCAATGGTGGAGACTTCGCGTCGTGGGCCGCACGAGGCTCGACATGGCTTCTTGCCGCGTCTTGTTGGGGCCCATGCGGAACGCCATCTCGACGTACTTGGCGATGATGTAGGTTTCCCGGGCGTCGCGGGCGCAGTCGGGCAGCGGCTTGGAGACTGTCGTGGGCACCGAGAACTCGAGCGTCTCGTTGAGGCGCGCGTTGCCGCCGGCTTCAACGCACTCGAGCTGCGACCGCGTCCACTTGTCGAGCGTGCAGCTCAAGACAAACGAAATGTGAACGCCGAGCGACCGGTGGACGCCGGCGCACTGTGTGCAGATGAACCCACCGTGCGTCACCGTCGCCCACCTAGACGACATGCAGGGGATGATACAGGCATTTCGAGCGACGATGGATGTACTTGGGCTGAGGCGCGTTGCAGTCGGCGCAGTGGAGGTTCTCGTCGCGGGCGAGCAGCTCCGTGAGCGCGGCGATCGTAGCGTCGAGTGGCAAGTAGCTGCCGTCGTCATCGTCGTCACCGTGCTGCGGCGCATCAAAGCTCGGCTTGGCCGAGAGCTCTTCCTGGAGCGCTTTCTCGTCGAATTGGTTTTCGATCCGGCGCGCGGCCGATCGGGGTGTCTCGGGCTGGGTTGGCATAAGCTCGAATATGCGTCACAAAGTTTGCGTGCAGAGTAACGAGCTAAAATTACCCTCGAATGACTGCGGATCCAGCGAGAGAAGGAGAAGGAGCCGTTGAAAGTCGTCAGCGTCCGTGGAGGCCTCGAAGCCATCGCTTGCGCGATAAAACGTACTGGGTGCGTCGATTGGCCTTTTTTCGATCCTGGTCGCGTTGCCGAGCGCTAAAGGAGCGTGCATGGAGCGACATGGCTATGCGCATTGGCTAAAAACACGTCACTTTAGCGGGAGCAACCAATCGCAACGCATGGGGTTTGCGATGCATGGTCTTGAACGTCATAGCTCTTGGTCTGTGCGTAGGTATGTGTGGCATCTTGGCACGTGTGCGTATGCCTTTCAGCGGTAGCGACGCTGCCTCTTCTCGCCGCCGTGTCTCTCATCTGTAATATTAATGTATCCTGGATAAAGAGATCTAGGTGGCGATTTGGAGGTATGTCTAGTTCATACACCGACTAACGTTATCGTTTTACGTGCAGTTTTGGGCTCTGAAAGTGTGTGTTGTGGTGATTTGTGGTGAGCATCGACTCTAGAACCGACGAGCTCACGCTGCTGCGCAAGACGTCGAGGCGCGACGGCGCCGCCAAGTTGGGCTGCGACTCGGTGTTTTTGGTCGCGATTGAGTTGCGCAAGCACGATTTGACTTGGCGGATCTGCCGCTCAATGTCCATCTTGCGCACCGCGCGCATGCGCAACGACGGATCGCCATCAATGAGGTCGAGCGACCGGCGGCCCCTCGGCTTCAACGCGGCTTCGAGTCGGTCTTGCTCGAGCTTTTGCAGCACGGGCGCGCCCGATGCGTAGCTCAAGCCTTTGCGTAGCGGGTGGTACGGTTGGAGCGGTCGGGGTGGCGCGTCCCGTTCGCGCGTCGGCGGGAGCTCGAGGAGGATCGACGATGGCGGCTGTCGCAGCCCCTCGACCACGTGGAGCTGGGCTGTAGTCGAGGCATCTATACTCGTACTTCACAGCCGCGTTGGCCGAGTAGGAGGTACCTAAGAGTGCGTCGGACGGGTGGTCGAGCGCGAGGTTGATCCGGTCGTTCTCGAGGTCCCGCAGTGCGATTGGAATCGAGTGCAGCGGTGGCGCCGCAAAGTGCAAAACGGCTTGGGGCCGGCGACTCGCCGCGTCCGTATGGGAATTGCTGTGCACGGGAAGGCTGGCGCTTGGTGACTCGTCTGGCTTGGGCCGCGGTGGCCGGCGACAAAGACTTGCCGATTTGGAGCTTTCGTCCTTGGGCTTCTCTTCTGCTTTGAGCCTGGCTTCGCGCTGGAGGCGCCGGAGCGCGTCTCGCTGGGCTTTGAGCGCGGCCTCCTTTTCAGTGATGGCGAGTGGGCGGGACCAATCGTCGAGCACGAGCAGGTCGAGCTGGTCGTCAATGTCGGGCTCGCACCACCCGTTGAGATCCAAGTCGTCGGTCTCGTCGTCGTCGTCGGTGGGCAGCGGTGGGTCCGTCCCACGCACTTTGCTCCGCATCGTGGCGCTTTTTGCAAGCGCTATTTTCGGCGAGAACCCACGGGTTTATATAAGGTTCTTGGCGCGTGCTCTTTGTAGTATGCAACGGAAGAAGAGTCGGGCACGCTGGGCTCATGACCATATTTGCTTCTACTTCTTGTGCGAGAGACGAAAGCGTTGTGAGTCGTCGGACTTGATGCAACTCTGCACCGAGTCGTGATCAAGTACCTCCCGAGTGAGTTGGGTAGGAGCCATGGGTTCGAGTCGGTCGTTGGGACTGCGTGGTACGCTTGTCGACGTCATGGAAGCGGCAAGTGCTTTCGCCAGACAAGTTGTCTTGTTGCGTGCATCGAGCATGTCTTTGCCCTAGCCCTCACAACTAAATACCAAAGCTTCTGGGCTACCAATAAGCAAGGAAACACGAGCACGTGCGTCCTTGGCTGTCAACTGCAGATTTTACATCACAATAGTTGCGGTCTCCAATACGGACAACATCTTCTTCAGTATGCACACGGCTTTGAGAAAGAGAAGAAAGCGCTGCGATACTGCTGCTACAGTGACGCAGTCGAGCACAGAAGACGTCGATTGCCTCCGAATATACGCACAATAAGTTAAACATCGAGCATGCTGTGGGCTACGAGTAGGGCCAGACGCGGTTCAGACCAGGGTGCAGCTCCTGAAGCGTCTTCTTGCTCGACTTGACGGGCTTGATTGGCGCCGCATTCTTGGACAGACAGCTCGGCTGCAGCGGATCGGTGCTGGGCACCACTTCGTCTGGGATCGTATCGGCACCAAAATCGACTAGACTCAATAGTACTAAACATCTAGTTGCACCATTCGCCTACCTTTGGCAATGTACGTGGTCCAGTCCCCGTCGGCGGGCGACCATCCACTCGGGTTGCGCGCGCCAGCATTCGCGTTGCTGTATATCCTCGGCACGGCGAGCTTGTACATGTGAAGCCGACCGGCGTCCACGAGGCTCGAGATGCGCGGCGGTGACGGCGGTGCGTCGTCCGTGCGCACGGGCGGTGGCGCCGGTTTGGGCTTGTGCCTCTGTCGCTGTGGCCACGTGGATGCGAGACCGAGCGTCTCGTCATCGTTGCTCCAGCCAGAGAGGACAAAGTCTTCGAGCGCGTCGGGCGTCGCAAGCCGGTCCTTGGTCATTCAAACCGAGCAGCAGGTATACCATAAATACATTGTCACTGTGTCAACCACCGAAAAACGCCTCTGCACGCTGCCGACGGATTGGTGCAGAAGGCTCCTTGTTGAAGCTTCTTGGACTCCAGCGAGGACGCCATGCGGTGGGAACGCGTCGAGTACGAAGAAGATGGCGATGCAAGAGGACTCTCACAGCACAACTCGACAATGAAGAAATGGGGAATCAAGGAAGAAAGACGGAATATGAAACACAAAACCCATTATTGGCAGTATTCGTTGTTGTTTATTGAGAGAGAGGCTCCACGAATGTGGGTTTAGTGAAGCTATGGAGCTGAGCTCCGAGAGGTGGCGGAGCCCGTTCGCGCAGCACGCGAGCTGGTCGAGGTGGGGCCCAACGTGCACGTCTGGAGGGCAGTGGCGCTGCGACAGGCACCAGCAGGGTGAAGGCGGCGAGGTTGCCGTCGCACATAGGGAGCACCGCCATCACAACCCGCCGGGGTCGTCTGCACGTACTCCGTGTGAGGTCCGACGCGGCGAGCGCACCAGAAACGCCAAGAGAGTCGAAAAGACAGCGTCGTTGCACGTGAGGCGCTGGTTGACAGCTTCCAGCTGCTGGATTCCAGATGGTTTTTCAATTGCACCTGGGGTGCCTGGGGTCCTGCATGTCGCCCGCGATGAAGACGTAGCGCTCGGCGCAGCGAGCCGCGGTCGATGGGGGCTCACCGCCGTACGCCTCGCACAACAGTTGTGCAGAGGTCATAACGACACAAGCGCTGCACGTACTCCAGCGTGATTTTACTGCTGCAAAGGTACGCGGGCAGCATCGGATTGGCTGCCGCCCAGCATCGGACCCTGCCATTGCTTCATCGAGCTTTTCCTTAAGCTCGTTTTTACATTGGTGGGATCCAGCGCCCTGTCGCTCTCGGAGCTACAAGTAGTCAAACGTGCATGGAGCCAGCCAAACATGCATCGAACGTGTAGATCACGGACCTTACGGTACCGGTAGTCAACGCTGACATCTCATGCGCCAAGGACAAACGCCTGCACCACTAGCGTACTATGGTTGATCCGTTGTAGAGAGAAGACTGCGCTAACTTACAGAGCGATCGGTGGGCTGTAGACGACGCTACTCCGAGGTGCACTGCCTGTCCAGTTCCGGAGCGCTCGTGTGGTGCCACGTCATGAATTCCGGATATGTTGGGAATGTTCAAGCATCCGGACGACGTTGTGTGCAAGTCGATAGATTGATACTTACCATCAACTATGGAAGTTCTTGTCGAGTGGCATCGCTCGACCATAGCAAGATCGATGCGCGTCTGCCTGATCATGCGACGACGACGACCTGTGCAAAGTCGACGCTCGCAGCCATAGCCCGACGCGTAAATGGTGCTTTTGGCAGGCGCCAAGCAGTAGGCGCCGTGCCGGTGCTGTCCGAGACTGAAAAAGCCCGGCGACAAGAGACGTACTCGTACATACTGTAGACTGATGAACGAGGCTCCCTCGGTAATAGATAACGTTAATCCTACAACGATGACAGGTACTACGAAGTTCGTTTGGCGTCTCCTTGGTCGTCGTCGCCGTCGTCCGAGTCCTCTTCGTCGTCGTCGCCATCCTCGTCGTCGTCGTCGTCAAGCTCGGACGAGCTTGTATACGTCAGCTTGAGGTTGCACTCGCTTGCGTCCAAGTCCTTATCGAGCGCGTCCGCGTCGACCAGCTCAAACTCGGAGGCAAAGTCGCGCGTCGCCGACGTTCGGAGGAGACCGTCCTTGGGCTGCACGCCCACGTACCACCGGCGCAGTCGGCGCGATTGGAGCTCACCGTTGTACGCATACTCGAAGCGGAAGAGGTTCTCGCGGTGGTAGATGCGGGGCCGAATGAGCTTGACGCACTTGGCCTTGGAGCACACGAGGCGGCCGCTCGAGACGTCCTCGAACGTGACCTTCATCGTGTTGATGTCCGTCTGCTCGGCGCGCGCATAGAACGGCGACGGAAGGTTGCGCAGGAGCGGCTCGGTCTCGGCCAAGTCGACTTCGACGACGTACAAGAGGTTGCCGCGGACTTGAACGTACTTGGTCGTGTCCTTGAGCTTGAGATAGACGCGCCGCCGCTGGTTCGTGCTTGGGTCGAGACTGTTCAGACGCGTGCAAAGCGTCTCGAGTGTCAATCGGTACTCGTCCTTGAGCTTGTGGACCTGCGAGACGAGCGAGTCGAGGTGCTGCGACACGGACCGCTGCCGCTCGTACGGGATCGACGTTGGCCCGGACGTAAAAATCTGCTTTGCAAAGAGCCGACCGGTCTTGCACCAGTTGGCAACGTGCTCGCAGTTGAGGCTAAGAATGTTAAAGTGGCCGCGGCCGGCGCCGAGGAGGAACTGGCAGCGCGCAAGGACCACCGGCGGAATGTCGGAAGCCGACCGGTGCACTTCGCCGAGCTTGGAGATCGTGTCGCCGAGGATCGACGAGTTGTACTGGACGCGGCGGAGGTACTTCATCGAGCGGCCATCCAAGAACTGCGTCAGCGTTGTGAGGCGGAAGCACGAGTCGGCCTGCGACTCGGCAAAGTTCTGGAGCGGGCTCCACGTGTGGGCCACGATGACATCGTCCGGCGTCTCGCCGCGCGTGTAGACGATGCCATGGTGCGAGTATGTGATGGGCCATCGGCCAAAGTCCCAGATGCAGATCTGGTCGGCGGTCTGGAGCGTCGAGACGTGGTAGACGGCCGAGTTCATATCGCGTGCGCAAAGCAAGCCAAGTTGGCGACTGCCCTGTGGCCGCTTCATTTTTTTACACAAAATCAGCCAAAGCACTTGGCGTTTCTATTCCGCGTGCGAAAAATGGTATTTTATTAGCCGCCGCCGCGACTAACGGCGACGCGCTATTTTTTCGAAAGATTTAATTCCGCCTATGGCGCGCTATCGCAGGACCGATATTTTTATTACGCCGCAACCTGTCACACCTGCGAACTGGCCCGCGGACCCAGGAGATGGACCAACACCCAACGGCGTCGGGCCGGTGGTTTGCAGCGACAGTAAGTCGTAGTAGTTACTACAACCCGACCCAGCGCGTCGACACGATCGTAGATACCTCTATCTTCGCCATCGTCGTTGGTTATTATTTGTACCAGTGCGCTAGTCGAAGGCATGCATTGCTGGCGGCGCCGACGAGGCGACATGCACAGCAGTGGTCGGTCGCGCCATGTGGATCTTGCGTTTCTAGATCTTGTGACGCGGCGGCGTCGTCAGGGCAGCTGCGACCATTTGTCTCGGTCCGCGCTCGCGGCAAGCTACTGCAACCAAGAACCAAGAACGGATGAGCGCCATCGCGCGGCCTGTCCAAGACGTACTGGTATACACTGGTTCAGGGGTGCGTGCGCGCGACGATGGCGCCAGGTCGAGAGGAAAAGGATGTCGGGTACACGCATCATTTGCTTGATGGGAGGAAAGACCATCCAAGATCAACTTCAATGACGTGACGCAGCCGGGAGCCAACGTCGTCGTCGACGCAACCTTTGGACGCAGAACACAGAACCAAGAAGAAGAGAGGATGCTACCCATGAGAAGCCTCGTGGTGGGCAGCAGCTACTGCACCAGCCAGAGCAACTCGACGCAGTATCCTGCTCCAGCTCCTCGAATTTCGCCAAATCGGATCGCGCGGTTTGAAATCTTTTGCTTTTCATCCAATCGGATGCCAGATGCGCTTGCCACCGTAATTTTTCAGCAAGTATGCTTGGTGGACGTGGCGGCGGTGGTGGCCGGGGCGGGCGCGGTGGCGTGAGCGCCGGCGACTGGATCTGCCCGACCGAGGGCTGTGGCAACATCAACTTTGCTCGCCGCCTCGAGTGCAATCGGTGCTTCAAGCCCCGCGCCGACGCGCCGAAAGGCAAGCCCGAGAAGACCGGGCTCTTTGGCCCGGGCGACTGGGCGTGCGGCAAGTGCGGCAACATGAACTGGGAGCGGCGTAACGAGTGCAACATCTGCAAGAACCCCAAGACGACGCTCGGCCCGGAAGAGAAGCGTGACGGCGCGGGCGGCGGCTTCAACGAGCGCCAAGAACGCATGGCGTCCTCCAAGCGCGAGGTTGACGAAGATGGCTACGACGACTTTGGTATGCGCCGCCCGTCCGTCAAGTCGAGCAAGGCCGAGCGCGAAGCCGCAGCTCTCGCCCGTCTAAAGCAATCGTACAGTGGCATCTACGACAACGACCACGGGCCGGCCGACGACCACGTCCGCCCCAAGGAAACGACATCTGCCGACAGCGAGCAGTCGCCCGCCAAGCCGCGACGCGAGCGCGATGCGCGCCGGGACCGCGACGAGCCTCGATCCACCAAGCAGCGAAGCCGGAGCCGCGACCGCCCGAGCGACCGACGCAGCCGCAGTCGTGACCGTCAGCGCAGCCGGAGCCGCGATCGCCAGCGTAGCCGGTCCCGCGGCCGCAACGATCGCTCGTCTCGGCGATAAGCACGCAACATGCAAGTGTTTGTCTCGCCGAACTCTACTTTGACTTGGCGTCCTCCGGCCCTTTCCTCCTCCGCAGCCATCATGCACGACGTGGCCACACATCCGCAGCTTGGCTTCGCACACCGCCTGCCATCAAGTGAAATACTGGGTTGGGCTATTTGTGGTCGTACGCGTCTACTTCTACTGCTACTCGCACATCCTGTCTGCCTGCTCTTCTTCATGTGTGGGTCTGTCGTTAAGGCCGCGCGTGGCATATGTGGCGGCGCTGAGAGGATCTCGAGTGCACGCACCTCACGAGTTGACAAAGAACGGGTTGCGCGTCACGACGCGGGTGGTGGGCGGCGGCGGGCGGCGGTCGTCCGGCTGAAAAAACATGCTCAAGCTCGACACTTGGTGTGCATACCGCGCGCCTTCCTCTTCGACGGCGTTCAAATCTTCCCACAGCGGTTGCTTGTCCATATGCGCACGAGACATCGGTGGTGTCGGCGCTTGCTGGCCCCACAACGACGCCTCGGACGAAGCACGAACGCCCGCGCCCAAGTGCCGGAACGCCGAGAGGTCGACGCTGTTGAACGACGGACTCGATACGAGCGTCGGCGGCGTCGGCGGTTGCTGCGTGTATGTGGACGGCTGGAACACAATGACTTCGTCGTCGAAGTCCTCCTCGTCTTCGTTGCCAATGTCATCGTCGAACCCGCCGTGCTGGCTGAGGAGACCCATGCTCACGTTGCTGGGCGACGCGGCCGACCAGCGCGGCGACGTCTCAAACTGGTTCAAGTGCCAGTAAAGGTACACGCGTTCCTAATATACACACTGAGCAAAGCCCGACAATATGAGATCATACATACCTCGTCACCAATCGGCTTGGTGAGGCGGCGGCCAAAGCCAACCAAGTTGGCACAGCGCACGTGCAGCGCATCGGTCTCCGAGAGGAGCTCGTTGGCTCTGATATAGGAGCCGTCCAAGGGCGCAAAGCAGCGCAACTCGTGCATTTCCTTGAGCTTTGGCTTCCACGCGAGCGCGTCCGGGTCGTCGTGGTCCAAGCAAAGGCTGTTGAGCACGCACGCCAGCGCTTCGAGAAACGGGGCTGTCTCGACAGACGCGAGTAGCTCCAGCCGCGGATGCAAGTAGTCAGCCATGACACTCACGGGCCCGAGCAGCGCTGTCGTCTTGTCCCGGTTCTCGTCCACATACTGAAGCGTCGTTGTGAGTAGCAGCAACGCAAGCCGCAGTGCATGCGTGCGCATCGTGCCCACTGAGGTGTGGAGGCAGTGCATGTTGATGGCGCAGAGCTTGAGCAAGAGAGCGTCGCCAATGACGCCGGCGGACAACAAGAGCTTGTAGTCATCGCCGACCGCATCTTCGAGGTCCAAGGGGTACGTGGTCGGGTCGACAGCGTCGCCACCCGGCGAGAGAAAATGACCATGAAGCCGCGTGAGACGATGGAGAAAGCTCTTGAGGAAGGCCGACTTGTCCTTTGGCGACGACGTACTCGCGATCGGCGGGAGATGCGCCGGCATCGGGCGCTGCCGCGCCCGTTCAAAGAGCAACGCAAGGTTTTCAGCCGCGGTAGCAAACGGCTGGGGCACGAGGAGGCTGCGGCAGTACCGGTACACCTACATATGTCGTTGATATGGGTACGCAAGCAGGCAAGAACGTACAGCGATCGTCTCGGCTTCAACGTACGTCGCAAGGACAGCAAGCTGGTTGTGCGGGTTGCCGTTCTCGGGCATCACAGCGAGCGCGCGGTGGTAGAAGCTCTCGGCGGCGGCAAAGTTCTTTTTGGCTTTCTGGCTGTGCAGCTCGCGGTACCGGGCAATGTCGCCGAGGAAGATGAGACACCGGAACATGCTCTGGAGCACGGCGTCGCTGGACGGGCCGGCCGCGAACGCGTCGTGGAGCTTCTCGTAGTACGCCGACGCGCTGTCGAGGAAGGACTGGAACTGCAGCGAGACCTGGAAGAAGTGCTCGCGCACGCGCCGGTCGCCGTTTGAGGCCGCTGCATACTACTCGAGGATGAGGGCAAAGCTATGCGTGGAGACGACGTACCTTGCGAATGCTGCGACGGAAGCTCTCGATGCACTTGTAGAAGCACGGCTTCCAAAGCACTTCCTCGGTCTTCTTGGACGCCGAGTCCGCCGGGTACGACGACGTGTAGTGGAGCGCCTTCTCGAGCAGGCTACACACGATGACTGAGCTCTATACGAGTAGTCGCAATGGAATCATGTACCTTAGGCGAAGCGGGTCGTCCGGGATGCATGGCGCACCGTTCTTGAGGCTCTCGCGGAGCAAGCGCTCGCTGGCGGCAACGTCCCTAGCACCGCCTGCCATGAGCCAGGATCGCCAGGATCGCCATGATGCTTACTTGTACAGAGACGACGAGACCATGAGGAAGCTGGTAGATGCGCTACCCGTCGGCTGTCGGAAGAGGAGGTCGGCGATGGGCCGAGGGCGAAGGTGACGTTGGTCGAAGTCCACGGAAGCGCCCGCTCACGACTTCGGATATTCGATTGGTGAAGGTCTTATACCTGTGAAAATGAATATCCGGTTGTTTTGAATACGTACAACCTCTAGCAATGCATCTTTGGCGACGTGCAAAGAGACGCGATCTTGTGCGGAGGCAGGTAGAGGCGAGAATACGTACGACGACCTCGCTCGTTGCACAGACTTGGGAGACCCCCAATACGACTTTGGATGGCTTGGGTTACATGCGTGGCCCATCTGGTTCGGACAAGCAGCTCCGGGCTCTGTCTTTTGGTGCGTAAATGGCTCCATGGCGTGTCGGTGTGGGCTTGTGGACACGGTGGGCGTCTTGCCACCACGAGGTCAGTCCGCGCAACCTCATACCTTTCGGTTCTAATCGCTAATGGGTGTGGAGCTATACATATATGCGTGGGGATATCCACTCGAGGTCCCAAAGTGTACATGATTGTCCATAGGTAACGGTCATTTGATTTGTAACTGCCGCGAAGAAGGGTTGACCACGGATTATATACAGCTATGTATACGGACGGCCCTTCGATTTGACGGCTTCTTTGATGCAACAAGATCGTAAAAAGATTTTGGGTTGTGACCAAGGTCCAGCGCAATGAGACGATCGAGCGGGGGGTCTGCGCCAAGCGCATCGATCCAGCGGCCCACAACCCCTGTCGACGCCAACGACGCTCGTGGCGAGAGAAGTCTGTCGGAGATGGCGCATGGAACTTCTGGCCACGAAGCGAGCCGTGCCCAATTCTTGAGGCAAGAGTGGTCGTGCTTGGAACGATGCAGTCTCCACGTCCCACCGAATTCCACCTCCATCATCAGCGTGTCTCCTGTCGAACACGCGTCCGGCGCGCGCCATAACCACGTGCGGCCATGGTCGAATGGTCGACCACATTTGCACACATCCCCACCCATCGCGTATCGGGTTTCGAATCATCCGAGTCGCTTGGATAGGCATACATTCTCCTTCCTTGCGTGTCCGTCTTCTGTCGCCACCGCGTTGGAATCTTGGAAATGGCTGAAATCGCCCGACAGCCGCATGTGGGCAGCAGGCAACCGGCCAATATGCAAGCATTTCTATCGAACGCAAGCTTGGGACAGCGCCGGCGATGGCGCCACCGCGCGCGCCTGGCCTCTGTGCATAAACCGTCGCGTCGACAACTGCCTTTTTCCGGATAAGTGCAATCTGAGCGCACAGCGCGCAAGTGCCGCGCGCGTGACTCACGGCGTTGCGGCCGATTTTGGTATCCGGATCGGACTAAGATACCTTTGCACATTGGGCGCATTTCCGAGTTGGCGTCGTCGAACACAGATATGCTCCAGCTCTCGTGGGTGCGCCAGCTCACGCACTCGGCGCGGTCCGAGGTCCACGTGTGCCACGCCGACAGCCTCGGCGCCGACGTCGTCCTCAAGTGCATGGACGCCCAGCGCGTCTATGCGCGGGGCGAAGACGACCTCTTTGCCGAGCCCCGCGTACACAAGCGCCTCACGAAGCGCGGGCACCCCAACATTCTACGTCTCCTCGGCGAAGGCCGAAGCAACAACAGCGTCGAGATGGTCCTCGAATATTGCGCCCACGGGTCGCTCTTTGACGTGCTCAGCGCGGCGCCGCAGCAGCAGTTCGAGCCCGCGACCGCGCGTGTCTTTTTCGACATGATTGTCTCGGGGCTAAGCTTCATGCACAACGAAGGGTATGCGCACCGCGACCTGTCGCTCGAAAACATCCTCGTCGACGACGACCATATGTGCAAACTCGCCGACTTTGGCGACGCGATCGGCGTCGACTTGGTGCGCACCGACCGCGCCGGAAAGCTCTTTTACATGGCGCCGGAAGTCTACAACGGCGAGTACTACATCCCCGGCGAGGCCGACATGTGGAGCCTTGGCATCATCCTCTTCACGATGCTCACGGGCCACCCGGTGTTCTTCAAGGCGCACGAGTCGGACCCGAACTACGCCATCTTGCTGGACGAGGGCCTCGAGGTGCTCGTCCACAAGCTCAACATGGCCCATTTGATCCCATCGATGGAAATGGAGATCTTGGAACAGCTGCTCGAGATTGACCCGGAAGAACGCATGACGATGGACGAACTGCTAGCGCACGAGTATGTGGCCGCCGTCTTGCCACAGCCGACTAGCATCTTGCCGGCACTGCGCTCCAGTCCGTCGTCGACCAAGGTCGTGCGCACCCAACGCGGGTACCGGTACCACCCGTACGACGCGCGAGCAAACGCGGCCAAGCACCGACGCGCCCGAAAGTTTGAAGCGCTCTTGTTCAACCTACTCTAGTCGTCTCTCGTAGTATCGTCTTTGTGTGTCCTAAGTTATCCAACTCGTGTGCTCAATTTTCATTCATTTGGTGTTTGCATCGGAGCCGGCGGTGCCAGAGAAGACGGCGCCAGCAGCTGCCGCATCTTGGCCACCAAACGCGCCTCGAGGTCGGACGGCGACGCCACCGCAAAGAGAAAGCCACCAGGCGCAAAGTGCGCTGCGTCCAAGTGCACGTGGCTCGTGGACGCTTGCACCATGGCCGTGACCGCCGTCGCGATCAAGGGCACATATTCCGTGTACGCGCGATGGCCGCGGAGGAGCGAGAGTGGCGTCAGGCGATGTGGGTGCAGCGCCTGCAGCTTCTCCAGCCCGGCCACAAGCACGCGGTCAATACCGTCTTCGTACGTTCGATCCAAGCTCGTCTTTGTAAGCGAGCAATACTTGAGTGCGGTCGTCGCCACGTCAACGACAAGAACGAGCTCGAAAGCAACGTCGTCTTCAGCGTCGAGACCCGGTCGCGTCAGCACGAAAGCCCGGCCACGAAGCGCGCACTTGAACCCGAGCGGCTTCCAGAGGCTGCTGCGCAAGATGACACTCGAGATTGCGCACTGGCTCAGGTCGCCGTCGTCGAGGAGAGGTACGTGGTTGCCATACCGGTACACATGCAGCGGCATCCCTTCATCCGACGCCGACGCAGACACCAAAGGGCGGACGTGCGCCAAAACGTTGATGCACACGTCACCAATAGTGTCCTCGACGTGGACAATACCGTCATAGGCGCTGCCCACGTCGCACAAGAATCGGTCGATCGGGTCCAGCGGCGTTGGCACGTGCTGCAAGTGCACAGGTTGCCCGAGGTCGCTCGACACGACAACGTCGACTGCGAGATCGCTTGCTATCGAGTACCGAAGCGCGGAAAAGTACGGCGAGAGCACGCGCATCGCATCGTCCAAGGCCGCGGGATCGGGCAGCGGCAGGTGCAGCCGGACTTCGGTGCCGGAAAAGGCTTCGTGGGCCTCCGAGATGGCAAACTGTTTGGTCTCGGCAAGGACCGCGCTAACCGAGCTTGCGATGAAGATGCGATAGCAGGAAAGAGACATCGTGTCTACCTCGCGTTTGAGGCCGCCGTGTCAATGTAGAGCTTGGTCGAGTGAATCTCGCGCGAGTGGAGCGTCGTCGTGACCTGGAGGCCGCCATGCGATGCGGCGACGTGCTCCTGGGAGTAGAGGAGAGCAGCCTTGAGGCCCAGCCCTATCAAGCACAGGCAGGATCGTACGCATGCTGGGTGGAGACGACGTTCGACGAACCAAACTTGCCAATCTGGCCGACGCCCTTGGTCGTGGCAAAGACGCCGCCGCAGAGCTGCGCGATGTGGTTCACGTGCATGCCCGTGCCTACATCATAGTCTCGTATCCATACCAACAAGAGCGTGTACCGTTGTCGGTGCAGACGACTTCGAGGTAGTCGCCGTTCCGGCGCAGGTGGAGCCGGATCATCCCGTTGTCCCCGACCGCGTCGAGCGCTGTGGGCCATGAGCTGTGGCCGCATACACATGGCAGGTACCATTCTCGAAGAGCTCCTTGACCGTCTGGACGAGCGCTGCCCGCGGACTCCCAAAGCCGAGGACCTCGAGGTGGTCATGGACGAACTGCGCTGGCGCCGGCTGCCGGATCATGCGATCTTGTTGCAATCCCGGACGGTTTCCGGAGTTCAATGGGCATTACGTATTTGTATGGCATACTATATTCTTGTTAATTTACGGGCTCCGTCCAGCCCAGCTCAGGCTCACCTCGGCGACGCATGGCGCGACCCAGAGCGGGTGCAGATGGCGCTGGAGTCGAGGGTACCCTGAGCTTACTGGTTGTTGTAGCATCACCGTGCACCCCAGAGGCTTCCAAGGAACTCCGCGGCCCGCCCAGCCTTGTCCGGATACGCTGGAATGCAGCATCCGCATACGTGGCCAGTATCGAATCCTCGACCAAAGACGATGGCGACGACAGCGTTCCTCGAGAAGCTCCATGCGCAAGCGCTCATCTACACGGACGGCAGCGTCCCGTTCGCCAAGGCGGCCATGGCCTCGCGCATCCCGAAGCTGCTGCACGAGATCGCTGACCAGAACGCGGCCAAGAAGAGCCTCTCGGAGGCCCACTGCGCCAAGCTCCGAGCGTTCGCCGACGACGTGGCGGCCAACAAGCCGATCCCGGCGCTGAGCAACCCGGCCATTGACCCGACATGGCACGCAGACTACGAGCGCCTCGGCGCTGGCAAGACGTGGCATGACGCGGCGTGGTTCTTTGCCGAGGCGTACCTCTTCCGCCTCGTGCTCGACGTCACGGGCTACGACGAGCATGGTGTCGACCCGTTCCACTGCCAGTACGTCGCGCAACTCTATCCAGCTCGCGGTGCGAACAACATGCGATAGGAAGATGCACGAGCTCGACGACGCGACGCCGTGGCGGCTCCTTGAAACGGCCGCCGCGCTCGACGCCTCGGACTTGCCGACGCGCGAGAAGCTCGGCGACCTTATGAAGCTCAGCTTGTGGGGCAACAAGGCCGATGGCGCGTACAAGGAGGTCAAGGACACGATCAGCGGCGCGCATGCCAACTTGGCCGTCGATGACCAGTACCTCTTGACCAACCACTGCGAGCAGGTGCGCCTCCGCAAATCGTTCGTCATGCCCATGCATGTGCTAGGTCATTCAGCACCTCGAGTCGTTCCATGGCACGACGACAGTGCACTTTATCAACGACAACTGCGGGACTGAGATTCTCTTGGACTTGGCGCTTGTCGACCACCTCCTCACCCATGTATGTATTCCTTTGGCGCGACCAGGCCACCTGATCTGATTGCTGTAGAAATGGTGCACTTCCATCGTGCTGCACGTCAAGGGCGCGCCGACGTACGTCTCGGACGCGACCGCCAACGACATTGTCGAGACAGTCCGCTTGATGGGCGATGCGTCGCGGACGCCGTCGGTCCGTGCTCTCGCCTCGCGCCTCCAGGCGTTCCTTGATCGTGCGTTCCATGCTCCTTCTCCTTGCCTCGTGTAAACGATGATGGGTGTAGAGGGCGTCTTGAAGCCGGTTGGCGACCTTCTTTGGAACCAGTACCGGTTTTACTTTGAGCTGCCACCCCATGTGACGAACGCGCTGGCGACCGCCGGGCTTGTCTTCCTCAAGGGTGACGCCAACTACCGCCGTCTCCTCGGCGACCGTCTCTGGCCCGCGACCACGCTCATTTCGGAGGCCGTCCCGTACTTTCCCGCTCCGTTTGTTGCACTGCGCACGATGAAGTCGGACCCGATCGTGGGCATTCTGCCCGCGCAAGAAGCGGCGCTTGAGGCCGAGGACCCGCTCTGGCGCATCAACGGCAAGCGCGGTGTCATCCAAAGCGTCCTCCGTCGTACCTAGTACCTCGAATATGAGCCGAAACATCGATAGAGCGTCCCCATGAGATTTTAAACTCCTTCCGCCAGTCGCCAGCTCGCCCCACATTCCATGACCTTAGCCGCCTTTGGGGTCTGCAAGACAAGAGCGTATACGTCCAAAGGCCAAGGAGTCTGCTAGTCGTCATCGTGGGGGCGGAATGAAGCCAAGTTTTGCTTCGATTTGTCAGTGACAACGCTAGAGTAGATTGACGCGATCGGGCCTAGTCGCGTCGAGCCGCTGCATGCGTTTGAGGTACGCAAAGGTCAGCGACACGACGAGCGTCACCAAGACGATGCTAACGACAGGAAGGACGTACACCATTGTGTTGACAGGATACGTCAAAATGAGCCAGATCTTGAGCAGGTTTTCGACCAAAAAGATGGCGCCCCAGAGCCACGAGAGGCGGCGAAAGCGTCGGCGGACGACCGGGTCGCCCCAGTAGGCCTCGAGGCGGCGCGTGTCGGCCGTTGTCGCGCAGTAGATACGCCAGAGCACGTTCCAGCCGTCCTTGATGCATGGCCCGACAAGCAACGAGGCGGCAAATGCGAGCGAAAAGAACGAGTCTTTGAGCAGCAAGATGCGCGGATTGTTTAGCGATTCGGTGAGCCCAATGCACGCCGCCGTCGAGAGCACTTGGAGCAGCGAGAGGCAGTCGGTCTCGCGCTGCCAGACCATGCCGTAGAGGCCCTTGAGCAATGGCGGCAGCGCGGACAAGGCGATCGCGTTCACGTCCGACGTGTACTTGGCTGCAATCGCATAGATGAGGAGCGGTAAGGCGATGTTGCACGCAAAGACGGCGCGGAGGTCGGTGGCACGCCCACCGACGGTCGCCATGGTAGGATCTCTTCTTTTGTCATTTTGGGCCGGAAAGTGCAATCTGAACCAAGTTCTTAGTTGCTCGTGAACGAACCAGTGAAACACTGCAGTCAATCTATCCGGGATATATCCAAGCGTTTACATGTAACTCAATATCACTCGCTTGCACGCTGCGTGCACTGGTAGATTCGGATAGATTCCTTTGGCAAGGCAGCGCTGACGACGCATCGACGAGTCCACACGATGACAATGAGCCCAAGGACTATATCGCAGCACTGCGATCTTATTCCAGCGAATCGTTCTTGTCAACATCACTATTAGTAGTACGCTATACACAGACGCAGCTACCGACTCAAGTCGGTTTCTCAGACAAGTGGCGTCGTCTCGGGGCGCAAGCTGTCTTCGCGGTCCTTCATCTTGAGGTAGCAGTAGGTGCCAAAGGTGAGCGACCCGCCAAAGACCATGCCCATCAACGGCAGCACAAAGATCATGGTGCCGACGGGGTACATGAGAATGAGCGCGACCTTGGCGCTGTTTTCAAGCACGAGGATGGTGCCCCAGAGGCCGGCGAGGAGCTTGAAGCGGCGGCGAATGTGCGGTCGCGTCCACTTGAGGTCGAGAGCGTGCTTCTCCTCAATCGACGTCTCGGAGAGGAGGCGGTAGACGCGCCAGAGAAGGTTCCACTCGTCGTTGTAGAACGCGACAAAGTACCCGAACGCAATGCAGAGCAGCAGGATCGAGTCTTTGAGTAAAATCACTTTCGGGTCTTCGAAGATTTCCATGAGCACAATGCACACAATCGTCGAGATGACTTGAAGCGACGAGAGAAAGTCGGCTTGGCCTTGCGACGAGATCTCGTAGACGCCCTTGAGGATCGGAGGAATCGAGTGCAGCACCATTGCGTTTACTTCCGACGTGTACTTGACCGCGATCGAGTAGATCAGGAGCGGCAACAAGCCGTTGAAGATGAAGACGAAGCGCATGTCCCGGCGACCATACGTCTCATCATTCGGCTTGACGTCGTTGTCCGCGATGAGCGTCTCGGCTGTCATGGCTGGCCGACAATGCAAATTCCCAAGTGGCCTTTTTGAATTTGATGGGCATCGTCGTCATGGGTACACGTGGGTGCGCCCGGGGTTTGTCCCGTTTAACCCCATTGTCATGTTGGGTTAAACGCAAACCTCGGAGGACACTCACCATCCGCTCGCATCCTTGACGGCTATCACGTGTTGCACTTCAAGCTTTCGACCACGCTAGGATTCTTCAGAAGTCCCAGCTCCTTGGGCGTAGCGTGCGCCGCCCGAGATGCCACCTCGCGAGTTGGCAGTGGCAGCACCCAGCCGATCCTAATCACACCTGCGTCCATTTGTTGCTCTTCGAACGCATCGTGGGATTGCTTGCGGTACAAACCCAGTTGCATGGACAGGGAGCGGTCGCTCACAGTAGAGTGGCATCATCGATCGTGCCCAATGAGAAGGAATGCAACGACCACGTTCTAGCATTCTGTGGCGTTCAAGCTCATCCTTTTCTAATTATCTACCCGTGGCTCCCGGGGGTATCATGATGGACCAACATGATGCTGCCGTCCTTATCCCACGGGCAAGTAAACGCATGTAAACGGGTCGTGCTGGCGCCAAAATGTGGGAAAAACCGGCTGCGTGGGTGTTTGTCCCAATGTCCCGAAGTACATCTGGTGGGTCAAAGAAGAGTGCCGTGCCGATTACGAGAATGTTGGTCAAACACTTGCACTTGCTTTGTATGGGCATGTGCTTGCGTAAACTTGGTCGGCTGCTGAAGCGTCGCCACCTAGTACACATCCTCGCCGACGATCGCGAATCGATGGCCAGCGCCGCTCGCTCAACCCGCCCGTCGACGCCGAGACGCGACGACGCTACTGCGACCTATGGCTCGAGCGACCTGCGCTACGTGGTGCTCTGCAATGCGCTCTTGCCCATGCTCATCTACTTCATCGCGTCGAAGTACACGTCGCAGCTGATCGCGATGGCGCTGCAGTCGCTGCCGCCGCTGGGCCGCATCGTGTATCAGATGCTCGTGCAGCGCAAGGCCGACGCGATCTCACTCGTCCAAGTGTCGGCGATCGTCGCGTGCCTCGTCCTCATGACGCTGCTCGACGACCCGCGCGTCGCACTGCTCAAGGACCCGCTCACGTTCATGTGCTTTGCCGTCGCCTTTGCGATTCCGTTGGTGCACGACCGCTTCAACCTGCTCTGGATCAAGTACCGCCTTCTGAACGAGACGTCGCCGGCGGATGCCCAGTACCTAGACGATCTCTGGTCGCTGCGCCCCGTGCGCCGGCGGTTCCGAGCGCTCTCGGCGCTCTGGGGCGTCGTCATCTTTACCGAGGACTCGCTGCGCGTCTACTTGATCTTTCACTGCTCGCTCGACCTCATGGTGTACATCTCGCCCATCATTGGCACCTCGTGTATGTTTCTGCTCGTCGCGTATACATACCAGCACCTCCGCGCATACGCGCCGCTCAAGGACGCCTCGGACGACGAAGTGCGACCGCTCCTTCGCGCCTAAGAGCTCCCTACAGTCGATAAAGAGAACTGGGCTAAGAAATCAGTGCCAGCTTCCATGCGACTCTCGATTGGGACGCTTGCACGAGTGACCTCGGTACAGCACTCGTCCCAGGTCGACATGCGGGTTTCAGGCACATGGGCGATCGTCCACCGTCATCGTGAGCAGATCGGGTCCGTCGAGTGGTCCTTCCTGCCTGGTCCACGTTGCATACGATGAGTGCATACTACTTGCCGGCCGTCGTCCTCTCCAACCCTGCTGCCGGACATGGCGTCCCGTCCTGCTTGCCCTAGCCCTTCACCGACGTGATGGATGAGTTTGGCGAGTGCTCGAGCCGTGACGAACCAGCGTCGGCAGCTTCAAAAATGTTTCGACACTATGCTGCCCGCGAAGATCTTGTCTTGCATGCAGCAAGCTGATGCCGATGACGGTGATTGTGTTCGTCTTGCGGGGCGCCTTGTGAGATGTGGCCAAGAGTACATAAACTCAAGGATACATGGTCGGTAGACCCGAATGGCGTCGCTTGCTCAAGCAGCTACGCATGTACGACCAAGTTGAAAATACATATATTGCAGAGGTCGCTGCGCCACCCTCGCCTCTTATATGCCCCGCGACGTAAAGACATTACTGCGTACGGCAAAGACGATCTTGACGGGGAAGCCTTCGAGGAGCACCGGCATCGCGTTGTTGGTCAGGTTCGCCTTGTAGCGCGCTTCCGGGAGCTCGCCGTCGTTGCCGAGGTTGGCGACGCGCCGGAGCGACACGACGCAATGGCCGACGACGTTTTCGTGGCGGACCCAGACGAGCATGTGCAGATCCTGCAAGCCGCGCTCGTGCTGGAGCTTGACGTTGAGCGAGAGGTTCGCCATGTTGGTCACGGTCGCCGTGCGCTCGCCGATCGCCTCTGTCTGCTTGCCGCTGTCGTCTTCGCCGAGGAGCGGGGCGACGATGCGTGTCTTCTTGGGTACATGCAAATGGTTGTTCCACATGACAACCATGTTGAAGATGGTGAGGACCGTCGTGATGGGGCCGCCCGCGTGAAGACCGTACGACGGGCCTTGCTGCCGCACGTTGGCGCGGAGGTCGACGTACGCCTCGCCAAACACGTCTTTGGCCGTAACTAGACAGTCCACGTTGATACTTTGATACGTTGATACAACCCACGTACCGAGGGCGCGTTTCGTGTGGCCTGTCGTCGACTGAACGATGGGCGGTCGCACAAACTTGAGGAGGAACGTGCAGCTGACCGGCGAGTGGTCCGAGATGTCCATGCCGATGCCGTCGTTGATGCTCTTGTAGTTGTCGATGAGTTTTGCCGGCGCAAACGGCGACTCGACCTTCTCGGCCGCCAAGTACGAGTTGCGGATCGGCGTCGAGTACACAAGGATGCGGTCGCACCAGCCGGGCACGCGTTTCTTGACCTGGCCGCCCTTGTAGAACGGCTCCTTGTACAAGGTGCGGTACACGCGCTCCGGCCAATCGGGCATCGTCATGTCGACGGCGCCGCGCAGCGGAAATTTCTTGTACGTTGGGAAAAAGTCGGGAAACTTCCGGGGCTCGATAAAGCCCTCAAAGATGCCGTGCTTGCGGTCGTTGAGGAGCCCGTCGCCGCGCTCGTGGAGCTCGTCAATCTTGTTGGCCGACAAGAGGCGAAGCACGTCGGACGCGTCCATGTTGACGATGCGGTAGTTGAGGTCGCCCATCCAGACAACGTGGTGAAACTGCTCGGTCAAGTCGAAGGACGGGTGCCCCATGACCTTGCCGAGCTGCGTGTTGAGGATGCGGATCTGCTCGCGCCGGTACGTGTCGTTGCGCGCATCGAGGTGGCAGTTGACAAACACGAGCGTCGTGTACTTGAGCTTGAGCGCGATCGCCACGCCGCCCTTGGACCCGGACGCAATACTAAACTTGTGCACGCCGGCGCGGAGCAGCTGGACATCGGCGGCGACCGTCTCGGCGTAAAAGAGAGCAAGGCCTGTGAACTTGGTGCCCATAAAGGCGCCGTCGCCCCGCCCCCGCACCGCGTCAAACACTGCGTCGGCCGGACTCGTCTTGAGCGGGTACGCAAACTTGTCGTTGCGGAGCTCCTTGCGGCAGTACCGGCCGCGCGACGGGTTCGTGTTGAGGTAGCTCAGCACCGCGTGGTAGACATTTTCGCTTACACCTTCTTGGACGCCGAGCACGTACAGGTCGTAGCCGTGCGGCACAAAATGGCGCACCTACGTCGGACAATAAGGCGGTCTGTCATTGTGACAGGTGCGCACCATGCGTGACGACTGCGCTTCGTCCATGAGACCGTTCGAGTCGGCAAACGGGTCGGCGGCACCGAGGTTCCACGTGCCGACCCAGATCGAAATGTCGCCTTCTTGGCGGGTGCCGCTTGTTGGGAAGGCAAACTTGGACGCGCCTTCAATGGACGCCTTGGGTGGCTTCTCGGCGTGGTGGCGGCGGTGCTTGGCCGGCAGCGGCGGCGAGTCGTCGTCCGACGGGCCGCGCGGGGACGTCGCGGCGTTGGCTCCATGGTGGTGATGGTGGTGGTGGCTCTTGTGGTTCTTGTACTGGCGCGATGACGTCGCCGGCGTCGGTGCGCTATTGAATTGCCCGCCGCCCTGCGCGACGACAGGGGCAGGAAACAAGCCGCGGGGCTTGGTGTCGTGCTCGCTGTGCGTGCGAAAGTGGTCGTCGTCTTGGCGCAAGGCCGCGAGGTTCGCGCGTACGGGCGGCTGGAACGCAAATCCAGGGACGTCGTCCACGCTAAGGCTCGTGTTGCTCGCGTCGTCGTCGTCGTCCTCGTCGTCATTGTCAAAGCCCTGCGAGTGCGACTGGATGATCTGCTCTCGATCCATGTGGTCATTCGGGTCGTCGAGGTCGAGGCCAATCGAGCTGCTGTCGTCTTCCTCGACGTCGTCAAAGTTGCCAGGATACGACGCGGCCGAGGAGGGCGGTTGCGATGTTGCCGATGGCGGCGGCATGCGAATGGTGTTAGCAGGCTCTTCCGTGAAGCGGCGCTGCTGGTCGAGCTGGTCGAGCGTCGTCCAGCTGTGGCTGGGAGGGATGCCATTGGCGGGAAAAGGCATTTGGCCCGAGCCCGGCCGGCTGCGCAGCTGGCGCGACTTGTGCGAGGCCGCGGCCGCCATGGCCACGAGGTCGCTCTGGCTCGACGATGCCGGCAGCGGGCCGTTGCTCAGAGGCGCCGCGGTCATTGCGCTTTGGAAGAGGTCAGTGCCGCTGCCGCGCTTTGGCATGTACGGCGCCCGAGCCGGGCTCGTCAGCACCGAGCCACCTCCGTAGAGGTCCGTGGACGTGCTGCGCGGGTAGGCCGAGGGCTTGGACATGGGGGCGCCGACGCTGTGGAGGCGCTTGAGCGACTCGTTCTCGACCTCGAGCTGCCGCATGCGTCGCTGCATCTCGGCCACGTCCTTGGATGTCATCGGGCCTCTTTCTTATTGTTCCTCCAGCGCACCCGGGGGTTTTAAATTCGGCTTTTTATTCTTCGCATCGCGTATTTCCATCACATCCCTACAACAACGCAAATAGTGTGCGTCGGCCTCTTCAAGCAAGCTGGACATCGCGCGCTCCTTCCTACCACACGTGGGATCGTGCACCATCCGTGCAGTGGTGCGTCGTCCATGGACACGCCCTAGCTTCTAACGCTGGCCTCGCTCGCTTGCCTTAATAGACCCATCTTGCTGCCAAAGCGAGATGGTACCGGTGCCTTCGTAGCTTCCGTCACCGCAGTGCTGCTGCCAATAGCAGGCGCTGCGCAATGCATGAACGTGAAGGCAACAAAGCTACTCGGCCATCGCATGCTTGCACAAGCGCCGGCGCGCAGAGCACAGCAGCGGACAGGCGGGGTCCGGCTCCAAGGATACACGATTTGAACAAGTATCATTGACAAGGAAATAGTGTATTAAAATTGCAGAATATTATTATGACGCGTCCGGTATAGAGCAATTAGTAATTGCGAGGTGAAACAATTAGACAACGCTCTCTGTCGACATTATCCGGACAGAACGTCCGGTTGACAAGCTGCTCACAACGGGATTTTTTTTTGTAATGCGTGTGCCACCCGGCGCGTCGTCGGCGCCGCGGCCTTGCCGTCGCCGCAGATGGCAACTGGCGCGCGACTGGTATATGTCGTGCCCGTGGCCGCCATGGTCGGCAGACCCACCGCTGCCCTACATGGAGGCCAGATGCAGCGCCAGGAGACGCTACGAGGCAGACATGTCCAACTCCCAGCGTTATCCATCGGGCGTGTGGGTAAGCGGGTCACTGCTGTGACCTTGGTGCAGCTACGCGCTGTATCCTTCGAGCAAGCGTGCGTACCTCGCTGTGGCTCGTCCATGCTGCTACGCCTCTCGATATGACGCACAGGTACGTCGTGGCAAGCCAAATCGTCGAGCGCACGCCACTGCGCGCTGCCGCTGCTCGGCCTGTGAGACCTCGTGCATGTGTCTACACGCGGTGTCGCGATCATTCTCGGATGCGATGGGTTGTAGTGCGCTTGGTATACATGGACGCTGCCAAGCGGCGGCCGACGATGGCACCTGTGACGCGCCTCTGGCCTCGCGCGACAGTGCTGCTGCTGATGCTTGTGCTTGCACCAAGGCTGCGCGTGACGACGCTCCCAGTCGAACTGCACAACTTGTGCGCTCGTGCGGAATTGAATGATCGCGCTATGCATGGAAGCCCGATCCTGCCACATGACGGCAGGCCATTGGTCAAAACTGAAATGTCGATGCACCAATGGCATCGCAGCACGAGCGCTTATGAGATTCGCTGCGGCTTCGACTGCGCCTGAGTATGGGATTGCCACGTGGTCGTCCACGTGTCGGCTGCACTGTGGAATTCTATGCAACGCACCTTTTGATGCATAAATGCGTGCGTAAGCTCTGAAATCGGCTCCAATCCACACGTTGTTGCATATGCGGATTTCAAAATGCGTGGGTGGCATACCTCCTTTAGCATAAACGTGCGATCCCAGGATATCGCATCGACAATTGCTCATTTCTGCATTTGCCGACCGCCATCAAGATGCGCTTCTTCGGCACTGTCTCGACCATGCTCCTCCTTGGCGTCGCCGCTGTCCGCGGCGCCATCGAAGAAGAGGACGACGTCCTCGTGCTCACGGACGACAACTTTGAGGAGGCCATCGCCGGCAACGACGCGCTCCTCGTCGAGTTCTACGCGCCGTGGTGCGGCCACTGCAAGTCGCTCGCGCCCGAGTTCGCCAAGGCCGCCAAGGCCCTCAAGGAGAACGACCCGCCGCTCCGCCTTGCCAAGATGGACGCCACCGCTCACACCAAGTGGTCGGAGAAGTATGGCGTGCAGGGCTTCCCGACGCTCAAGTTCTTCAAGGGCGACCTCGATGCCAGCTCGGTCAAGGCCTACGACAGCGGCCGCACGGCCGACGACATTGAGAAGTGGGTCATCAAGAAGTCGGGCCCGGCCGTCAAGGTCATTGACTCGGCGGCGGACCTCGAGAAGCTCACGGCTGCCAACGATGTCGTTGTCATTGCCCACATTGACGCCGCCACGGGCGAGCAGAAGGACCTCCTCGAGAAGGTCGCCGACGCCGAAGACATTGCCGTCATCGTCGCCACCACCGATGCGTCGGTCCATGCCGACCTGAAGGAGGGCTCGATCGTCCTCCTCAAGAAGTTCGACGACAAGAAGGCCGTCTTCAGCGGCGCCTTTGAGAAGGCCGAGATCTCGGCCTTCATCAAGGAGCACCACAAGCCCCTCGTCATGACGTTCACGCAGGACAAGGCCTCGCAGATCTTCGGCGGTGACGTCGATGTCCACCTCCTCGTCTTCTCGGATGAGTCGAAGGACTACCACGAGACGGTCCTCGAGTCGGTCACGGAAGCCGCTGCCGACACGAAGGGCAAGATCTTGCACGTCGTCATCCCGCTCTCGGAGTCGCGCATCGTCGAGTACTTTGGCCTCAAGGAAGCCGACCTCCCGTCTTTGATCCTCGTCAACATGGGCGCTGGCATGAAGAAGTTCCCGTTCCCGACCAAGGCGGCCGAGTTGACGGAGAAGCTCACGAGCGCGGACCTCAAGGACTTCGAGGCCAAGTACCTCGCTGGCGACCTCAAGCCGACGCTTAAGTCGGCTGAGCCGTTTGATGACAGCGAGGAGGCCGTCAAGGTCATCTCGGGCAAGGAGTTTGAGACCCGCGTCATGGACTCGGACAAGGATGTCCTCCTCGAGTTCTACGCGCCGTGGTGCGGCCACTGCAAGACGCTCGCGCCCAAGTACGACGAGCTCGCCGAAGCCTTCTCGGAGGTCGACAGCATCATGATTGCCAAGATGGACGCGACGGAGAACGAGATTGACCACCCCAAGGTCGACGTCAAGGGCTTCCCCACGATCATCTTCTTCCCTGCCAACGACAAGGCCAACCCGGTCACGTACGAAGGCGCGCGCGAGGTCGAGGGCTTCACGGACTTCCTCAAGAAGAACGCCAAGAAGTTCAGCCTCGGCGGCGAAGCCCACGGCAAGGACCACGACGAACTTTAAGCGCTAGCGTAGCAGAATAAAGCTAACTCTGTAGTTTTTGACATTTGCATGAGTGGCTTGAAGACCTGAATGGCGATCTGCATGTTGAGCCTGAGCGTCATGGCCAGCACGATACATACCCTGCGCCCAGCTAAGCTGTAATTTATCCAGCCATGGCTGCTCATTGCGACCCAATAGAGCTCACGGGCAGCAGGATCGGTGAGTCGAGCGTCAACGTTTCGTCGGACCGAGGGCAAAGCCTGCTCGATTCACTTCAGCGTACGGCACAGTGGCGCACGAAGGGCGCAACAGCGAGATGGGGAACGAAGCACCTGCAACAAGCTGAGACTAATCACTCGTGGCATTGAGCTTAGCTCCAGCGATAACTTATTGCTGGAGCTATGAGGCGTATAATCGCCGATAAGGTTTAAGGGATGGCGTTACAGAAGGCGACCGATGGCGCTTATTAGCTGACGGCGCTGGGACCAGGGTACATAATTATTCACACCTGGCTAGGACCGGCCCATTCTATACACTGTGATGCACCCAGCAATGGTCGTGTTGGCTGCGAGGCGAGCAAGTAGCCGGCGACGTCGCGCGTCGGTGCAGGGGCTGGGGTGCTGACTTGGGAGCTAAATCGATTGACTAGAAACACCCAACATATTTCACCTTGAACTTGAGGTCAACGGCTGCAACGGTTCGATTAGGCTCATATCGGAGGACGCGATCGCAAGAACCTAGGACACGATCGTTGTATGCACTGGCATGCTTGTAGGGGTGGTGCCGCATACCTCAATGATGCGATGAGCCTCGCTGGCGCCTTGTCTGCTCTTCTTCACACACCCAACGTTTACACAGTTCCATATTGAGCCATGCTTGCCAACGGAGCATCACATTCGGCGGAGAGGTGCGCTTAGAGAACTAACGTTGCCTAGAGAGAGTAAGCTGTACATGACGTTGCTGGGGCGTTCCTGCCCTGTTTGGCTTGTATCATCCGACAGCCTCGCGTACGACGATGTCGGGAGGTCGTCGCGCCTTTGTATTTGGGTGTGTCTAGCCATAGAATATGCGACCTGGGCGTGCCACGTAGGGGCTTCCTGGGCCCCCCAGAGGTGACCGGTCATAATCTCTTGATTATTGTATAGTACCGTTTTGGGTCCCCCCTACCCGGTAAAGTCTGAAAACGAACGTAGGGGAATTCCAACCGCTAATTCGTTCGCTTGCCTTCCATTTATTTCTGACTTGGAAGCCGACGAAGGATCATGATGATGTCCCGCCTGACCGCTACCCCGCGCCGCGTCGTGATGCAGACCCGCGGCTTCCGCAAGGGTATGCATGCCCCTCCCTTCGGTACATGAGGCTCATGACGACGATTCCAGGCAACCCTATCAAGTTCACCGAGAACCACCAGAACCATGGCGTCTCGGCGGTCGTCTATGGTACGTGGACGAGGTCGAGGAGGACCGTGGGCTAATGAGGGCCATCCTAGCTGATAACTCGACGGCCATGATCAAGGCTGGCAAGGTTGCGGGCGCGGGTATCCTTGCCTTGATCCCCTTTGCCTTGGCCCTCAGCCCGTCGGCGCTCAACACGCCGGTGGACTATGCGCTCGGCGTCTTGATCCCGATCCACGCGCACGTCAGCATGAACGCGGTCCTCTCGGACTACATCCCCAAGGTGCACCAGCTCCCGTTCCGCCTCTCGGCGCTCGCGGGCTCGGCGGCCTTCTTCCTCGGCCTCATGGTCGTCAACGTCAACGGCGTCGGCATCACGGAGTCGGTCAAGACCATCTGGCGCGAAGCCCCGAAGAAGGAGTCGCACTAAGCAGGACCCTTGACACCTATTAAATGTAGAACGAGTGCCAATGCTTTTTCTACGTGCAGTATTATGCTTCCACAGGCTTGGCGATAAGGACTTTGGCCTCGCCCGAAATCGCGATCTCGCCTTCCTTGTTGATGCACTGCGTCGCGCACACCACGAGGCGCATGCGCGCCTTCACCTGCGTTACCTCGATGCGGATCGTGAGCGGGTCATCCACGAAGATGGGCTTGTGGAAGCGGAGGCTTTGGCTCACGTACACGGAGCCCGGCATGGTCGCGCCAAAGACCGATGGAAAGAGGCTCGAGACGAGGATGCCATGGACGACCGGCTTGCCAAAGGGTGTCGTGGCGCAGAAGGAAGCGTCGAGATGGAGCGGGTTCGTATCGCCCGTCAAGGTCGCAAAGGCCTGCACGTCATGGGCGTGGAACGTGTGGTGGATCTCGGCGCCGACGCCGACGCCGGGCAGCGCGCCTGCCGGGACCTGCGCCCATGAGACGTCGGCGAGATGCAAGCGAGGAAGCGTACCTCGGTGAGGCGACCGACGACGTGGATGTATCGGCGGCCCGCATGGGCCCCCCGGTAGACGCGACGAGTTGCCAGCATCTTGGGTCTCGACACTCTGGGTTGGATGCCGAAAATAAGGCGTAGCAAATGTGGCATGCACCGATAACGGAACGCAAGCTCGCAGCACGATGCAACACCCATCCGCGGGTCTTGACTGCAAGTCCACTGCAGTGCACGCAAGACCTTTGTGAGTGCCACTGCCCTGGGTATCGTGCACTTGTGTGCTCGTGTCGTATGGTCTAGTTTCGGCATATGCCGATTTTGAAAACAGGCTGACGGCGTCATTTTACGTGCACACATTGTCATGCGACCGATTTGAAATACAAAAACAGACAAAATATATCTCTACAAACATATACACTAGGCGACTAGAGCTGATCGTCAATGTCAAATTGACCGCCCGAACTCGAAGAATGGCGCGTCAAGCGCGCGAGGATGAGCTCCACGAGCTGCGTCCGTTCCACGCTCGACAGCTCGACCTATGACATGGTATGAGCACATTGCACCAAAGATGAATCTCGTCGTACGAGCGGCTTCTCAAAGCGCTGCAACAGCGGCGATGCGCTCGACACTTGAATGGCTTGGAGGGTCTCGGTGTCAATGTTGAAGACGTCGACAAGGAGCCCGAGCTTGGTCGGCGTGTAGCCGATGGCGACCGAGACCGACGCGCCGCCAACGTTCTTGACGCCTTGGTACAACAGCGCCGCAGAACTCATGGTCGTGCTCGACGGCGGCGGCGTCTTGGCCGCCACCGGCGCATACGGCTGTGTTGGTCGACGCTCGAGCTTCATCGTCGGGGCGAACGCGAGGCTGCCCGTCTTGCGCAGCGCCGCCATGCTCTGTGTGGCGTTCTGGCCCGTCTCGGTCGCCAAGTCGCTCACAAATCGCTCCTTGAGTGTCTTGCCATTGGACGTGGTGATCGTCGTCGCGTCCTCTTCCTGCCATTTTGGGCGCGGGATGGGGCGGAAGCCCGGCATGGCGCGCTCGAGCTTGGTGTCCGTCTTGAGCGGCGCGGCGGTCGCGGGCACGAGCATGCTCTGGTTGGCGGAGGCCTGGTGCATGAGGAGGCCATGGTACGCCTCGAGCTTGGCTTGCATTTCGTTGGAAATAGCCTCGTGCTGGGACACGAGCTCCTTGAAGAAGCTGTCTTTGAGTGCGACCTCCATCGCGGTCGTCTCCTTCTCTGCGATCGCGTCGGCGAGTCGCAGCTGCAACACCCGCGCGTCCTTCTCGGCGGACGCCGGATCCTGCGCGACCGACCGCCGAAGGAACTGAAGCACATCGAGGGTGCGCTCGCGCTGCGTGCTCATCGCGACGTTGAGGATCGTGTTGGCCTTGGCGAGGAAGAGGTGGAACTGGAGGCGCGCGACCGCGTTCGTCTTCTCCAAGCTGTCAATGTACCACGGTACAATGTCGGTCCCGGGCGTCCATTCGACCGTGTACCATTGCACCTATCCGGGCCCGCTTCAAACCCAGCGCAAGAGGACGAGGTGCGTACATCAAAGGGCAAGAACGGCGCGAGGTCCCGCTGGAGCGCGTCAAACGAGCCCAAGACAAACTCCTTCATGCGCTTGAGCTCCTTGATGCACCCGAGGATCGCTTGCGAAAGCTCTGTTGGCAGTACAAAGGTGCTCCTACGTCGGTTACGCTCCGTAACGTGGCATGACAGATCCGCTCCGTACGTTTTCGGCGGCGTCAACAGCTGCGTCACGCTGCGAATCGATGTGTACACGAGCTCCATGAGCATGCGGTCGCGGTCGACAAACCGCGCAAAGAAGGCGGCCTTGTCCTGCGGGTCTTTGGTATTGTCGCCCGCCGCATGTGTCTACAATGCACATGACAATCTGTCCACAATGCATTGGCAACGTACGTTGAGTGCCGATTGAAGATACGTCATGGTCGCATCGTACTCGGCCTGCTCCTTGAGTTTCGCATTACGCAGTGACGTGACTTCGGCTTCGAGTTGTGCCAACTGACTTCGGGTCTCGGCCGTCATGCGTGCAATCTGGGCCGCGCAGTCGGTCTTGGTTGTCTCAAGCGCGTCACGGCTCGTCTGCTGCACTGCGGCCACGTCCGTGACGCGCGCCTTCTCGGCCTTTTCCAGTTTCTAGCAATCAGAACTTAGTATCTGTCACGATGATAACGACTAAGATTTTACCGCCGCCCAGTCGCGAAGCGTCGCATCGAGCGTCGCGGCGGCTTCTCGCTGCACAGCTTCCATGGCGGCGACGTGGTGCGCGAGGTCTTGTTCGTGGGCTTGTTTTCGGCGGTAGAACGCCACGTCCATGTCCCGGCCTTCCTGAAGCTTGCGATCGAGGGCTGCAAAGAACGTCGCGGTGCTCTCGGGCGTGGCCTGGAACGGACACGCGTACTTGACACCGAGCCCGGAAAGCCGCGTCTATCATGGACCATTCATGTCCATTCTCAAGCGGTATCGTTTTTGGTATAGCATTACCTCGTAGTCTTGAAGGGCTTTCTGCATGAGCTCCATCGAGCCTTGCAGAGCATTGTTGTTGGCGTCCGTGTTCATTTTCTGCCGCGCCATGTCGCGGTGCTTGGCGCCGAGCTCGACAAACGACGCGAGTACTCCGACGATTTCGTCTGCCGTGCAGAGCCCGTCGCGCCCCAAGGCGGTCGCGGCGCGTGCGCGGAGGTCCCGGTAGTCGCCAATGTAACCGAGAATCTCCTTGGGCGTGCTCCACAGCGTTGTCTCGCTCGAGCTCCACAGTTTTGTGACCTACGTGTCGCATGAGTTTCACAAGCAACATGCACACAGATCACGGTACGTCGGCGCGGAGCGTTTGGTGGGTTTCAACCACGTGGAGAATGTCCTTGGCGTGCAAGACCGCCTCGGTCATGCGCAATTGGGTCGCAACGTCGAGCTTGAGCTGCGTGTACTCTTGGACGAGGCGCATGATCTGCGCATGGTTGAGCGTGTCCCGCGGCACGTGGAGGATCGTGGACACTTGGTTGCGAAAGTTGTAGGCTTCTTGGAGCGCTGACGTGATGTGCACGTCGGCCACATCAGCAACGTCCGTGGCCCAAATCGCTGCAATGTCGACGCGCAGTTTGCGGCTCTCTTCGACGACCTACGCACGATGACATCTCCAAAATGACGTGATCATGTCCGACCTTGATGATGCCGTCGGCCGAGATGAGTGTGTCGGCCGCTTTCGGCGCGAGCGTGTGCGTCACCGTGACGCGTACCTTGTGAAAGTCCTGGACGAGCCCCAGGATCGACTTGGCGTTCGTGAGCGCCTTCTCCGTGTTGACGGTAGCGGCAACTTGAACTCGGAGCTTTTCGTATTCGTCCACGAGATCGAGAAGTGTCGCAGTATCGACGTTCTCTTTGGCGAGTGCAATGCCGGCTTGGGTCAAATGGCTCTGGTACTCGTCAATGTAGTGGTAAATCTGCACGGCGCCAATCTAGGCAAATCATCACAATATAAAGTCAAAATCAAAAGTACCTTTGGGAGCTGAAGTCGTGACTTGAGTTGGGATTGCAGGCCCACAAATTCTTCAATGAACGCCACCATCTCTGCCTCCGTGCACGTTAGTCGCCCACACCCGAGTGCTACACAACACGGACGCGTAAGACGAAGCACGGACGACATCTATTAGATGCGTTACGTAGTACCTTGCGCGACATGGGTTCGGCACGACTGCCACTCGCGGAGCGCAGATAGGATCTCGGGCTCGTTCAAATGCCCCCTAAAATCAGACAAATCATGAGCCCACCATCCCAAGGACGGCACAAATTAGCGTACGAGGCTTGAAGAATACGACCCGCTTCGACGCGGATCGTTTGGTACGTATTGAGCACCGAGAGGACATGCGCTGTGCTCGGTGTACCACTGACATCGGTGAGCACGCTCGGGTACGCATTGAGCAGTTGGTCGTGCTCCAGCACGACCCGAATCACATTGTCCATCGTATCAACACGGTCTTTGGCAGCTCCGAGACTGCTCCAGAGCTTGTCATTATCGCGAACGACGACGTCGAGGGCCTCCATGCTCATGAGGCGGCCCGATACCTTGGCAAAGCGCTGCCTCTCGGTCGCAAGGTCGAGGATCGCGGCCACAAACGCTTGGAGATCGTCAAGCGTCGCCATTGCTTCGCACTCGGTGCCCAAGTTGGGGTGGTACTGCTCACTGAGTAGGGGGGTCCACGCCTCCTTCATGCGCTTGAGCACAAAATTGCCAGTGAGCGCTGCCGTGAGGTCTTGGCCCATCCCCGCCAGCTCTACAACCACATGAATTGGCGCCCAAACATGGCGCTTCGCACCTCGGAAGAGCGTCACGCGCAACTCATCTTGCTCGGTGGCCTCTTGCTTGTGCGATTTGACGGCCTTCTCGTGCACTTGTCGGAGCGATCGCAGCGCATCCTGCGTCGCGTCCCAGCCCTCCACAGTTGCCAACAGCTCTAGTGATGATTGAGTACAAGCTAGCCGATATGCGAGCAACGCACGGGTCTCGAGGGCTTCCGATGTCATTGCGATCGTGTTGTACGCTTCGGTGGCCGCCTCAGCGTCGCGGGCGCGGGCTTCTTGCCACGTACATCGCTCCTTCTCATGTGCCGCCGTGAAGGCGGCAACCTGGGCTTCAAGGACGGCCGTCGCTGCTGTCAGGGCCTTAGCATGGTCTTGCTGCGCCAAGTCGAGCTGCTGATGCAACTCGGCGATCGCAGCGGCGTGGGCATCTTTGGCCGCGGTCGTCGCCGCGTCATGGGCTGTCTCAAGGTCGGCGATTTGCTTTTCCAGACGCGAGACGAGGCTCGCATTCGCGTCTTTCATCGCGTCCAGCGACGCCTCGCACGCGGCGTTGGTTCGGTCAATGTCGGCGTGGTATGCCTCGAGACTTGCCGCGTACTGAGCGTCGTAAAAGGCCTGGTTGGATCGTATCTGGTTCTCGTACGAGGCTTTGGACTCTGCGAGTTGCGCTTCGTACGACGCCTTGGACTCGCTGAGCTGCGTCTCGTAGCTGGACGTGCAGCTGCTCAGCGTGGCCTGCGCCGACGCATTCGTCTCGGAAAGCGTCAGCGCCGCGTTGGACTTGAGGTCACTCAACTGCGTCTCGTAAGCTGTTTTCAGCGCGCTCAATTGCGCTTCGTACGCACTTCTGACGTCAATGAGCTCGGTCTCGTACTTGAGCGTATGCTCCCGGAGCTGCGTTTCATAGCTCGATTTGGTCCCGCGCGTCTCGGTCTCGCAGCGAGACGTCGTGTCGGTGAGCTGGGCTTCGTACGCGCGCTTGGTCTCGCGCAGCTGCGTTTCATACCGTGTCGTCGTGTCACTGAGGTGCGTCTCGTAGTGCGTCGTCGTCTCACGGAGCTGCGTCTCGTAGCGCATAGTGGTCTCGCTCAGCTGCGACTCGTACCGCGTGGTCGTCGACCGCAGCGTGCTCTCGTAGCTGCTCTTGGTGCTGCTGAGCTCGGCCTCATACGACGTCGTCTTGTCGTGCAAAAGACCTTCGTAGTGCGTCGTGGCGCTCGCCAGCGCAGCATCGTGGGCCGCAGCGGCGTTGCGCAACGTCGCCTCGTAGCGCGTAGTTGTGTCTTCCAGCGTTGCTTCGTACTGACGGGTTTGGGCCGCCAACGTGGTCTCGTACGTAGCGGTCGTCTCGCGCAGCGTGGTGTCCGTCAATGATTGAAGCGCCGAGAGCTGCGCTTCGTAGCGACTCGTGGTCGACGCCATTTCGCTCTCATGGGCGCTCTTGTTCGCCGTCCGCTCGGCGTCGGCTATGGTCAACGCATCGCACAGCTGCGTCTCGAGCGATGTCTTGGTCTCGGCGAGCTCCGCCGCGTGTACGCGCGCCGCCTCGGCGAGCTCGGTCGAGTATTGCGTCATTGTGTCCGTGAGCTGCGTCTCGTAGTTGCGCGTGCTCGTTGCGATTTCCTCTTCGTACCGACTCGTTGTGTCGGCGAGGAGCGTCTCGTAGTGCTCAGTTGTCCGCTGCAACTGCCGTTCGAGCGACGTGGTAGAGTCGACCAGCTGCGTCTCGAGCGATGTCTTCGTGTCGAACAGCTGCGCTTCGAGCGCCGTTCTTGTCTCTAAAAGCTCAGCAGCGCTCGAGGCCACAAGCGCAGCGATCCGAGCTTCGTACTCGGCCTTCGTATCGCTCAAAAGCGTCTCGTAGCCGATGGTAACGTCCCGCAGCCGCACCTCGAGCCGCTCAGTTGTCGCCAACAGCTCGGCCTTTAACCCCTCGACCTCGGCCGTGTGCGCGGCGACCTTGGCGTCCGTGGCGGCTTGGTGCTGCACGACTGCATCGGCCATCCGCGCCTCGTAGCGGTACGTAGCGTCACGCAGCTGGACTTCGTAGCGCGCCGTCACCTCGGTCACCTGCGCGTCGCAGCTCCGCTTGGCCTCGACTCGTTCATTGTTGAAGTCGATCGTGGTGGCGTGAAGACGCGCTTCGAGAACCTCGGCCGTCTCGCGGAGCTTGGTCTCATACGCCGACGTGAGGGTCGCTACTTCTGCGCGGTGCGCGTCCTTGGCCGCACCGACCTCCGCTTCCAACCGGGCTCGGGTTTCATCAAGTTCGGTCTGTAGCTGCGATGTGGTCTCGGTGAACGTTGCTTCGTGCTGTGCAGTCGTGTCCTGTAGCTGCGTCGTGAGAGACTCCTTTGTCGTTGCGAGTGCCTCTTCGTATTTCCCGATCGTGGTCGCGAGCTGTGTTTCGAGCGCCGTCTTGGTCTCGGCAAGCTCGGCTTCCAGCGTATCTTTGGTCTCCCGCAAAGCCGTCTCGAGCCGGTCGGTGGTCTCTCGCAGCGTGGTCTCGTAGCTCAGCGTCTTATCGAGAAGTGTGGCTTCGTGTGTCGCTTTAGCGCTCGCCAGCGTCGTCTCGTAGTTCTCGATCGTTGCGCTCAACGTGGCTTCGTAGTTGGCACTCGACGACGCGAGCTTGGTCTCGTAACTCTCTGTCGTCTCGCGCAAAAGCGTGCCCGCGGCTACCTTTGTGTCGCTCAGTACCGTCTCGTGCTGGCTGACGGTGCTACTGAGATTGCTCTCGTGCGCCTCGAGCGTCTCGTGCAGCTTGGCTTCATAGCCGCTGATCGTGTCGCGGAGCTTTGCTTCGTAGCTTTCGATCGTCTCGGCCAACATTGTCTCGTACTTGGTCGTTGTCGCGTGCAGCGTTGCTTCGTACTCGGTCGTCGACGCGTGCAACGTGGCTTCGTACGACGCCTTTGTGTCGCTCAGTTGCGTCTCATACGAGCTCGTCGTGCTGGTCTGCTCCGACTCGTGCGCGTGCTTGGCCTCGCTGAGCATCGTCTCGTAGCGCCCGATGGTCTCGGTGAGCTGCTTCTCGTAGCGCCCGATCGTGTCGTCCAGCTGCTTCTCGTACCGCGTAATTGTGTCGTGAAACTGCGTCTCGTACCGACTGCGCGCGTCTGCAAACTGGTTTTCATATCGCACCGTCGTGTCGCCGAGCTGCGCTTCGTAATTCGCGATAGTGTGGCTCAGTTGCGCGTCGTGGACCGCCTTGGCATCGGCGATTTCGGCTTCCAACGCCTTTTTGACATCGATCGTGGCCGTCTTGGCCGCGGTGAGCTCGGCGTCGTAGGCGGTTTGGTTGGCTGCGATCTGCGCGTCGTAGCTCGCGATTGAGTCGGCCAGTTGGGCTTCGTATGCAGCGGCCGACTCGGTCAGCTGCGCATCGTGGGCCGCTGCAGTCTCGGCAATACTCGCTTCGAGCTTCGCAATGGTGTCTTGGAGTTGCGTCTCATAGGCCGACGTGTTGTCGCTCAATCGGGCTTCGTACTTGGCCGTGATGTCGCTCAGCGTTGCGCTGTGCTCGGTGCCCATGTCGCTGAGCCGCGACTCGTAGTCGGCTTCCATGAGCCGCAGCTGGGTTTCATAATCGGACTCCATCTCTTCGAGCTGCCCTTCGTACGTGGCCGTGGACTCGCGTAGCATGGTCTCAGCTTCAGTGAGGCGCGTTTCGAGGTCTGACCGGGTCTCATTGAGCTGCGTTTCAAGCAACGTCGTTGTCGTTGCGAGCGTCGCTTCGTACTTGGCATTTGTCTCGGCCAATGACGCTTCGTAGTTGGCGAGCGCGCTCTGCAGCTGGATCTCGTACCCGACTTTGCACTTGGTGAGCTGCGTCTCGTACACCGACGACGACGACGCGAGCTGGCTCGCGCACCGGCCACCGTACTCGGTGAGTTGCATCTCGTAGCGCGCAATCGTCTCGCATAGCTGGGCTTCGTACCGTGCCTTCATCTCGCCCACTTGGCCTTCGTACCCATGCACCTGCGTGTCGTAGGACGCAACCGTGGCCGCGATCGCATCGTCGTGCTCTTGCTTGCGCCGAGAGAGCGTCGCTTCGTACTCGGCCTGTCGATTCGCGAGCGTCGAGTCGTACTCAAACTGACGGCTGCCGAGCGTCGACTCGTACTCAAACTGGCGGCTCATGAGCGTTGTCTCGTACTCGTGCTTGCGCGCGGCTAGGGTCTCGTCGTAGACTTCCTTGCGCTTGGCCAAGACCTCTTCGTACTGAGCCTTCCGCGCCGCCATGCCGTCCTCATACTCAGCCGTGCAGTGCGCCAGCGTTTCTTCGTATGCATCCTGGCGCTGCTTTAGCGTCGCCTCGTACTCGCGCTTGCAGCTCGTGAGCTGCTCGTCATGCGTCAAGTGGCTCAGCCGCAGCGCATCGGCCGTCTCGGCTTTGAGCGTCGCGAGTTGCTCCTTGTAGGACGCAATGGTCGACGCCAAGCACTCTTCGAGCGCTGCGATCTGCACGGCGCTCTTGGCAGTCGCGGCCTCGAGCGTAGCTGCCGACGACGTCAGCGTGTCGCTCATGTTCTTGTCGTACACGGCTTTTGCCGCACTCAACTGGCTTTGGTACGACGCAATCGAGGTTGCGAGCTCGGCGGCGGCTGTCGCTTCGGCGGCCATCAAGCGCTCCTTGCCGTTGGTCTCGGCCGCCTCGAGCTTGGCCTTGTACGAGGCTTCCGTCGCGTCGAGCTTGTCCTTGAGGCTCGTCTCGGTGCGGAGGAGCTTGTCTTGGTAAAACGCCTCGGTGGACGCGAGCTTGGCTTTGAGCGCGCACTCGGTGGCGTCGATCGCCGCCTTGTAGCTCGCTTCGCTGGACCCGAGTTTGTCCTTGAGAGCCACCTCGGTAGCGTCAATCTGGGCCTTTAGAGCCGCCTCGGTCGTCGCCAGCTTGTGTTTGTGCTCAGCGCTAGCCTCGGCCATTTGCTCGGCGTACGAGGCGTGCGTTTCACTCAGCTGGGCTTCGTACGCAGCTGTACTAGCGCTCAAGCGGCCCGAGTAGTCGTCGACGCACGCCGCGTATTCTCGCTCGTGCGTCGCCTTGGCCGTCGCCAGCTGGCCTTGGTACGTGGCGTGCCAGTGCGCCAAATCGGCTTCGTACTTTGCAGTAGTCTCGGCGAGACGCGCGCTCGCCGCCGCGCTCTGTGCCGCATGCAACTCGACCGCCGCGTTGTGCTTGGCGTCGGCGGCGGCGGTTGTCGCGGCGAGCTTGTCCTCCGCGGCCGTGATGGTCGCCGCTAGCTTGTCTTCGTACATTGACGTCGTCGATGCGAGCTGCTTCTCTGCCGTGGTCATGGCCGTACCCAGCGTCTCGGCCGCGACAGCTGTCGTCGTTGCGAGCGTCGCATCCGCAGCAGCGATCGTGGCCGCGAGCGTGGCCTCCGCCGTGGCCGTGGTCGTTGCCAACTGCTCTTGCAAGGTTGCCGTCGTCGTCGCAAAGGTCGCCTCGAGCGCCTCTTTCTCTGCCTTGACCGATGCCAACTCGGCGTCGTAGGACGCGGTGGTTTCTGCCATTGCCCGGCTATGGGCTTGGATCGTCGTCGCCAGTGTCGTCGCGGACGCAGCGATCGTTGCATCCAGCGTTGCTTCGGCATCGTCTGCCGCGGCGTCGAGCTGCTCCTTGTAACTCGCATGGCACTCTGCCAAGTCTGTCTCGTATGTTTCTTGCTTGGCGTCGAGCTTGCCTTGGTACGTGGCATGCCAGTGCGCAAGCTCGCCTTGGTACGTCGCGTGCCAATGTGTGAGCTGCGCCATGTACATCTCGTGGCAGTGGCCAATCTCGTCTTCGTGCTGCATGACGAGATGGCGCTGGCCGTCGCGCAAGGACGTGGCCTGACCTTCGTAGGTCTCTTTCATCGTTTTGAGGATCTCTGCGCTCTTGGCCTCGAGCGCGGCCAAAGCCTCGGCGTGCGCCGCCGTCGCGACGGCATACCGGTCGTTGGTCTCGGCCACGAGCGTCGTGTAGCGCCGGCGCCAGTCAGCTTCGCACGCGTTGAGCGCCGCGACAGAAGCCTTTTGGCGCTTGGCGAGGATATCATCGTGCGAAGCCTGCAGCCCTTCGATTTCGGTTCGGTAGTTGCTGTGGCACTCGGCGAGCGCGGCTTCGTCCTTGGCGATGGTCGCTTGCAGCGTGGCGAGTGCCTCTTGCGTGGCCCGCTGATGGCCAGCCGCCTCTTCTTTGAGCATGGAAATTTGACTTGAAAAGCTTGTTGTGTCGGCTTCGAGCTTGGTGGCGAGCGCAGTGGCGGAAGCGATAGCTCTCTCGCATTCGTCGTGCTTGGACGCGAGCTGGGCGAGTAGGGATGCACTCGAGTCGGCGGCCGCTTGGCGCTCGGTTGCCAACTGCTGCGTGAGAACTGCAACATCGCTGCGCAAGCTTGCCTCCATCGTGGCGGCGGCCGCCGCACTCGCCGAGCGCTCCTACACAAAGTCAGCACTGACACTATCTTGGCCTGGTGGCATACCGCGATCCGGGCCGCGTCGAGCCGCTCGACGTCGAGGGCATATGACCGCTCGGTCGTACGCAATTTCTACCCGCTCTTTTTCGACACTTCTCCACATATGACGTTATGCGCACCTCGCGGTACTCGTTGTGGGCGCGGTCCAACTCGTCTTGGAGGACCTGGCGACGCTTGATGGCTTGCTCGGCGTTCATTTTGATTTGAATTTCGAGCAAGTGGATGCGCTCTTCATCCTGCTCGATCGTCTCGGCGCGCGCTCGCACGGTCTGCTCGTACGCAGACTTCATTTCGGCGTTGGCTTCCTCGACGTGGCGGAGCGCCGACTCGGCGTTTCGGAGCGCGGCTTCGACTTGGGCCTTCTCGCTGTCGACAGCCGCGATCCGGGCCGCCGCATCGGAGTTGGCGACTTGCAGTTGCGCGGCAAACGCGTCTTGAGCTTGTGTGGCCTGGAGCTCCAGCTGCGCGCGGTTGGCCGCAAACTCGGCCTCGCGCGCCTTGAGCTGGTCCGACGTTGCCGACGCGAGCGCCTCGGCCGCGCGCACTTGGGCTTCGAGATCGCGCGTCTTGCGTAGCCGGTCTTCACTCTCCAGCACTTTGGCCTCAAAGTCCATCTGAAGCGCATCAAAGCGCGCCGCCATCTCGTCGCTGCCCGCGCGCATGCCGGCCACGACGCCTGCGTGTACCTACCGCCATTGTTGAACACAAGCCATACGATCCAAATCCTACCGCCGTCGCACTGCGATTGGCCTCGATCTGCGCCGCGAGGTCCCGCGCATGCGTGTCACACGTCACCTTGAGCGTCACGAGCTCCGTGTCCTTGGTGGCGAGGAGTGCGTCTTGGACAAGGACGCGGTCGCGGCTGACGAGAATCTCCTTGTCCTGCCGTCCAATGACGTCCGTGAGTCCTTGAACTTTGGTCTGCAGCAGCTCAATGAGCGATCTAAAGTGAACGTTGTTAACGGATATCAAGCGAAAAGGTGCGGGAATGTACCGATTCTTCATGTGCTGGACTTCGCCGGCGCGCATTTGGCTCTCAAATACGCTCAGTTCGGCCGCTTGGCTGGCACACGTCGCCTCGAGCGACGCAATGTGGGCTTCCTGCGCGTCAATGGTTGCCGTGTCGGCCACGTGCGATAGTGTTTGAGCCACAAGCGCGTCTTCTTGACGTCGCAGTAGCTTGACTTGACTATCGACTGTCTCCTTGTGCATCTATACCACTAGTATTGGAAATGAGGTTTCCACCACTGTGATTACCTTGCATTTGGTGCGCGCGGCCGCGAGCTGCGCGTCCTGCGCTGTCTTGGCCGCTTCGAGCTTGACTTGCTGGCGCTTGTAGGTCGCGATCGACTTTTCAAGCACTTTGACTTGGTTGGTGAGCTGCTGCCGCGCGTCCGTCGCATTCTTGAGCTCTGCGCGGAGCTTGTCTTGCGTTCCGATATGACCCAGAACATCGTCTTTGTACTGCTTGATCATGGCTTTCTGCTCGGCCGTCCGCGACTCGAGTTGTCTACGAGCCAATCAACACACAAGGCATCGGAGGAGGCGTGTGGTACTGCATGTTGCTTTGCGCAAGCAAGAGCGCCGCGTCGAGCGACTCGAACCGCTTGGCTTGCGCGGCCAGAGTCGCGTTGTGCAGCTCGCACGTCTTTTGCGCCACTTCAAGCGCGCTGCGCGTGTGCTCCAAGTCGGACGTGCGCTTCTTGAGGCTCGTGGCAATCTCGTCGTTCAGGACGCGGGCTGAAATCAAACTGTCTTCCGTGTCGCCGAGCACTAGGCAGCAATTCTGTCGGGCCACGTATCGAAATATCAACTCGCACTTTTTTGGCACTCGCGCAGCTGGGCCTCGACCTTGTGCAAGGCCACCTCCCGCATTGCCATGTCACGCGCATTAGCTTCGCCTTGATTCCGCAGTGCATCTTGGAGCTGTCCGCGCTCCTTCTCGAGGGCGACAACCTGCAGCTCCTTGGTCGCGGCGATGATCTCGAGGTGCTTTTTCTCATTCTCGAGCTTGTCGACTTGAAGCGAGCTACGCATGTCGCGATATGAGATTTGATAATATTTCGAGATGCGTGGCAGTACATTTCTCGCTTTTGCAGCGAGATTTCCTGCTCCATGTAGCCCATTTCTCCGCTAGAGTCGGGTGTTTGGCGCGTGTGGAGAGAGGTGACGTGGGCGACGTACCTGATCTGCTTGTAGTACCCCTTGCGCTTGGCGTCGTTGCTGTAGATCATGTCGACATGGCTCTCGGCGTTGGCGGCAATCTGCTTGAGCTTTTCGATCTCCAAGTCGAGCGCCGAGAGGTCGACGTCATACGCCGCGTTCGCGGGCGGCACAGCCCCAAACGCACTGTCGCTGGGCGGCCCGGTCTGCTCTTCGAGCTTCCGTGTGCGGATGCTGGGCGGGCGGCCACCCGAAGTCGGCGTCGTCGGGCTCACGGACGTGAGCATCGGCATCGTGCCCATGTCCATCTCGATCGGCTTGACGCCCTTGCCGCGGCGCGGCGACGCGTTCACGGGCGGCGGCTCGGATGGCGCGCCGTCGTAGTGGCTCGGTATCTTGGGCAAGTTGACAGCCCGCTTCTCGTTCACCTTCTTCATCGCCGCCACCACGGGCGATCGGTTTCTCGGTGCCAAGCTGAAACTGGAGCTGGCCAGAAAGGCGTCCGTGCAACCGCAGCCGGTTGACGTATCCGGAAGGGCGCTATTTTCAGGCGTGCAACGACCCACTGCGTTGATTGAGGTGGTGCTTCATGGGTGCTCGTGGCACTTGAAGTAGGAAGCAGATTGGCGTCGCTGGTGATGGCTCGATTCCGGAAGGACGCAACACTCAATACGACTCGCCATACGTCAGCGGAAGGAAAGCGCGCTGTAGAACTCTCCTAGTCTCCGTGTTGACGAGCCACACTTGCGCCAAGAGCAAGTAGGACATCGACACCAGATGCTAGCATGGATATGTACGCTTTGGCATATCCGTCATGCAGTACCATGGCCGTGTCGAGTGCCTTCGATCAAGCGAGACGCCTGATTGGCGCTTCGATTTTTATGGGACCAATCACATTCAATGCCTATTCGGAACACAGATCTTATGCTATTTGCCGATGCTTGCGGCGAGGTAGAGCTCGATGAGCACGTATGATACCTCCTTCAACCTCGGTGCTTTTGTCATTTCTCAATCTTCAATCGCATGCTCGTATACTGTGCGCCAGTCTACTGTTTGATGGGTCGTGGGTCGATGCCCTGTCCAATCGACAAACGTTCCTTTGTCGCCGAGCTTATAATGTACTGTCATCTGCCAGAAATCTGCCAGAATATGCACACTCTAGACGCAAGTCTGTGCTGCTTGGGGCGTCCGCGCACATTTCCCTGTTTCCATCCGACCCTCGTCGATCTGAAGATGCTATGAGGCAACGTCGACCCTAGCTCTCCGAGGTGGACACCACACAAAGAAATAGGTCTGCATCCGGAGGCCATCAAATACGACAGCGCGTCTTGGCCTGTCTAGCGGCAAAATGCAGAAATAGCTGGCGTACGTTGCCTATAATTAGGTGGCGCGCGTCTGCCGTCGCCATTCTTCTTTGCGTCATGGCGGCGCACGTCGTGTGCTCGTCACAGGACCTCCTTCCGCTCATATTGCAGTACCAAGGCGGAGTCTTTGAAGACCTCTTGCCGTACTTTCACGCGCGCTACTACCGCGGGTTTTACGCCAAAGACGGGGCCAAGAGCGCGCTGCACATGGCAATTGCGCGCAAGAAGCCAGAGATCGTCGCCCGCCTCTTTCGCTGCGTGCCCCATCTCTTCAACTCGGATGCGATGGACCTCGCGGCGTCGTTTGGCCACCTTGACGTTGTCCGCGTGCTCCACGACCTCGGCTGCTGCTGCACGACGTCGGCGATGGACGCGGCGGCGCAAGCCGGCTTCTTGGACGTCGTCGAGTTTCTGCATATTCATCGCACCGAAGGCTGCACAAGATTTGCGCTGAATACAGCGCTGCGCGACGGTCATTTGGAGATGGCAGCGTACTTGTTGAGACACCGCCACGAAGGGTACGTCGTCGTCTTTGTGTATTGCAGAGGGTTATAACGGCGTGTAGCTGCAGCGCTGAGGCCATTGACCACGTGGCGTGGCATGGCCAGCTGCGCTTATTGCAGCTTCTGCACGAGCATGACGCTGTTGGCTTTTCGCACCGCACGATGGACTTCGCCGCCGGTGGTGGCCACTTGTCGGTGGTCGCCTTTTTACACGAGCACCGCGACGAAGGCTGCTCGGTTGACGCGATGAACGACGCGGCGCGCCGCGGGTACCTCCCGGTCGTCGCCTTCTTGCACGAGATGCGCAGCGAGGGTTGCACGACGGACGCCATGGACGACGCCGCATCCAACGGGCACCTCGACGTCGTTCGCTTTCTCCATTCGCATCGGGATGAAGGGTGCACCACCGATGCCATGGACCTCGCGTGCCGCCACGGATTCCTCGATGTCGTCGTCTTTTTGCACACGTACCGGCGAGAAGGCTGCACGGCCAACGCCCTGCTGGACGCCGTCGCCCATGGGCATACCGACGTAGTTGGCTACCTCTGCCAGCAGCGCGTGCCTCACTGCAACGTGCCGGCAGCCTTAGATCTCGCGAAAGACCGCGGTCTCCACGCAATGGTCGCATGCCTCTCGAGTCCGAAAACGGCGGTCGTCGCGGCCCGCGCCGCTTCGTGACCAAGTGCTAACTCGCCATCTCGACGCCTGTCAAAGACAATAATGTATCAAATATTGTTCATTTGGTAGACAGGGTATACCAGAATGGAGGACAAGGGACCCCGGTACTACAGAGCTATTGTCGCATTAACCATTTGATGTGCATCTACTGGGAGCAAGATCAGTTTGTGTCGGTGTGCAGTCGCTACACGGATGCCGCCGTGACGATATCCCCATAATTAACACGATTTCAACGTCACAGTATTTTCCGTGCGTATCTTGGACAGGCACATTCCGTGGATTAAGATCTGAGTATGGAGCCGACGGACGATGCGGTCTACGCCTTTGAGGCGCTGCCGACCGCGCTGCCGCAATGGACATCTACCGACGTCAAGGCCAAGCTCATGCAATGGTACGAGACATACAGCAACGAACCGGCGAGCGTTCGCACGTAGGAACTTGGATGAACACGGCTGCGTCGGGCGCTTCCGGCCCAGCTGTCCCTTTGACCCAAGAGACGACGCGGCGTTCCTCCGCTGCTTCTTCGAAAGTCAAGTTGTACGCGACCATCTCTCTGTATGCAGGCGTTCGTTGTCCTTCGTTGTGTCACAAACCCCGTCGCCGTAGCTGCCCGCCTCGACACCCACGACCTTGGACGGTCTCTTGTTCGAGCGACTCGCTACGACCGTCACGAGCATGGCCTTTTTCGATAAGCTTGCGAACGAACCTGGTGCGAACGGGTATATTGACGTGGACTTCACGAGGCGCGATGCGTAGACCTGGTGTCCAGCGGCGGCTACCTGCGCAAGTGCTATGACGAGGTGTACGAGCACTGCACTGTGAGTGACGGCGTCCGCGAAATGATGGCCAACGGCGACTCGGAGCACGCGCACTTGTTTACGGCGGCCGAGCAGCGCGAACTCATCTTCCAGGTTTGCGTTTGGCTGGCAACACTAGGAGCGCTGACCGGCACTAGATTTTCAAGCGTCTCGTCATCGGTGGCGCCATGTGCCAATCAGACGAGACGATTCAGCCGTACCTCGACATTACGAAAGCCATTTACAAGGCGCTCGCTGCGGTGCGCAAGGGGCCGCAGGGCGACGTGCACGTCTACTCACATGTCTACCTCTTCACGGACAAGAGCACTCGCAAGGGCGGGTCGCTCTTCCAAAAACTGTCGCCATTCAATGCGTGCTTTGTCGCGGTCGATCCCAAAAAGCAAGCGGTTCAGTGCTGGTACGTCCCCTACGTCCCCTTTTGGTGATGGGCAAAAGCACAACTACAAATGAACTTGACAATCCAACTGGATGTCTATACTGTGCTTGTAATAAAATGCACGAAGTCGTCATACGACGTCATCGGCGCCGACGCAACGGGTGGCGCGTCCTTGCAGAAGCGTTGGACGAGTGGCAAGTGAGCCTTGTCGCCAAGCAGATCCCGCACGTTGGGGGCCTCCATATGGTCCACGTTCCAGGTGGCGAGCGCAGGGCCTGCCACGTCATGCGTGTCACGACCGACGTCGTCAAGCCTAGCGACACCGTTATCCGAGTAGAACGCAAAGCGATCTGTATACCACTGCAATACTCGGTGACACGACGGGCACCGGGGCGAATAAAAAACAACAACGACACACTCTAGTGTGGAGAGCATCGTGGAGAGCATCGCCGCACTATCAATCTCGCGCCGGGCGACGAGGCGGCGGCGTACGACGGGTGCAGGTGGCGCCACGGCAGCTACAACGCATCCTTCCATAGGCCAAATCCAATAGATAAGCGTGCACCTTTCTGGTGGGCAAGCGCCGATGGCAGGTTCTTTTGCTGGAACCGAAGCACTCTGTCGCGAAAGGCCGTCGGTTCTTGCTCCAGTTGCGCAGCCAGCGCGGCACCTTGGCGATCGAGGCTGCGAAACGTACTCGCATCGATGTACCACACGAGACCGGGGCGAGCAGAGACGCCAAAGTATCCGGCCAACGCGAGACTCTGATCCGTCACGACAAGGTAACAGATCCGCTGCTGGCGCGACGCGACGAGGTGCAGCTGCAGCATCAACGCACTGTGCCACGAGGCGTCTTTGTCGGTAAAGATCAGCACGTACGCCAGCGCACCAACCGGCAATGCGTCCGCCGGGTTGTACGACAGAAGCCACGGCGAGGTGGCCCCCGAGTAGAAGGCGAGGACGTCTGGGATCGACCAGGGTCCGAGGAAGGGGGTGGCCGGCACAATGGCCGTGGCATCGAGCCGCCAGAGTGCCGGGAGGGACCCCGGCTGCGGAATCACATCCGCCACCAGCGATGCGTTGCACGTGAGCGCAAAGCTGCCATCCACGCCGTTTGCCAAGGTCTCGATAAAGACGCGCGGAGGATCGTCCTCACACGCTGTGATCGCCAGCAGCAGCGTGGAGGGATTTCGCTGCAGCTTTGTCCACTCGTCTTGGGTGCGCACGAGCTGCAGAGGTGCGTCGTGCAGTAGCCAATGTTGCATCGCGATCGACGACACATCCCCAAAGTACTCGGTCGGCGGGGCGCTCCCGTTGTAGAGGACGAGCGTCGGGTACCCTGTTACGTGCAGCGCCGCTTTGTCGACGGCGACATCGATGACGCCAAACGAAATGGCGGGAAGCACGTGGGCCGTCGCGGCAAACGCCTCGAGCTGGGCCCTGGCACTGGTATCCCACTACAGTGTGTTATTCGAATCTTGGTCGTGCTCAGAACGGCGCTAACGATAAGACGCACCGATGCGTAAGCGAGGAGGAAGAGTGGGTCGTGCGTTGCGAGCGTCGTGCTGAGGCTGCCGACGCCCGTGAGATTCAGAAAGGCCATCGCACCCAGCGCGCGCAGGGCCACGATGAGCAGCAGCGGCAGCATCATTCGACAGTGTCTCGTCCACGTCGTTTCGAAACGGAATGATAGGTCAACGTTGGATCTGGGCCGGATCACCGCCAAGCTTTCGCACCAAGTAGAAAGGTTCAAGTCCATTTGAGAGGCACTGAATGAACGACCCGTACAAGCAAAGGCCATGACGCACTCATAAATGTGGCCTGTCCACGGTCAAGCGATGCGAATGGGCATTGGACGACCAACGTTGCTTGGCTTGTCGCGAAAACGGTTGCAAGAATGTAGTGGCCATCGGACGACGACGGTGCGCTAATGGGCGTAGCGCAAGCGTTGTTGGGTCCACACCTTGGTCACTTCAACGTCCGTCTGACCCAGCTGCGGTAGTCTGCTGCTGAGCCAGGCATGGACCCGACGACGGCTACATGGCAGCTATCGAGAGAGGATCATCGAACCTGTCGCCACCGAGACATGTTGCGCTCGAAAGGCGCCAATGTGTTTAGTAGCACCCGTCCAAGTACAAGTAAAAGTGTCGTCCTTATGAGCTTGTTTCCTGCTGCGGCTCGACGATGCTGGCGTCATGAGGGCCACCACGGTAGAGTAGGCCGTTTATGGCCAGGAGTGATTCTAATCTCAACGACGTCCCTGCATCTTGCACGCGGACGGTCGCTGCAGAGTGGGCCGATGTGCACACTTGATTGGTAAAAAAGATCCAAAGATCGTGTTCGTGCAGGTGAAAATCACCGTGAGTGCCATCATAGGCACTTGGGTTCAGTATGCGGCCGATCCGCGGGTCGCGTGTGAAATGCCCTTTTCACGCAACGGGGATTTCTCACCGACGTGGCCGCGCTCACAGCGCTCGCCACGTCCACTCATGCCTTGCTCCGCGCTTGTATCAGGTCTACCAGCAGGACGCTCCAGCAGGAGGCGACAGACGCGCACGGTCCCATTCAAGTGTCCACGAATAAGATGCGAGTGTTTGACAAGGGGACAAGGGTGTCGCACTCGACGTGTAGCAAGGTATAAAAGGGCCACGACACTCGTTCGTTCTCTTCCAACGCTACCCTTCGAAACCGCTTGGCCGTTCGCGGCCCAAGATCCATCCTCGCCGACCAAACGACACGTGCAGAATGCTGCAGTGGCTGTCCATCGACCATCTCTCGGCGATTACTAGCATCATGCGCAGGAAGCAAGGTCGAGAGGAGGGCACCCAAGCGGCTCGGCGCAGTTGCGTCCGAGTAGCCACGCCGCCACGTCTGAGGCGGGCCCGCACTCGTCTCAAGAAGCCAGTGCCACGGATAGGCAGCCAATCACGAGGCGTCTTGAATAGTCCAGGGCGTATTACGGTGCAGCAGCTGGTTCCGTGTGACGCCGAGCGCGAGTCGCCAATTGCCATCATGCTGCGCGGGTCCGACTCGGTCGTGCTCCTCGAGCCGCCGGCCGCCGCGTCGTCGCGCGTCATCGTCGTCAACGCCAAGGAGCTCGGCGGCGACTACGTCAAGAAGGGCGTCGCGTACACGTCGACCAACCGCGATATCCTGTGCTGCAAGTTTTGCCACATCGTCGCCGCCTGCAGCGACGAAGTGCTCTACGACGAAGAGCACATTTCGGTCTTTCGACCGCTCCACCCGGCGAGCGCGTCGCACATTCTCGTGGTGCCCAAGCACCACTTGCGCAACATCAACCACTTGACGTCCGCGCACTTGGCGCTCCTCGCGCGTATGAAGGACGTGGCGAGACACGTCTTGGCGCAGCTCGGCTACTACCGCGGCCGCGACGCCGACTTGCACCTCGCATTCCACAGCCCACCGTTCAACTCGATCGACCACGTGCACATGCATGCGATGGTCAAGACGCGCAAAACCGCGCTCGGCTGCGTGAAATATAAGACCGGCACGTGGTGGTGCCGCAGCTACAGCTACGTCGTCAACCGCCTTCAGTCGAAGAGGGCTGCGTCGACGACTTCGAGCACCAACGCGACGGCGACGGCCAGCGCTAGCAGGCCCCGCGCCCGGTCGTTTCACGGCAGCACCGAATTGACCAACCACCTGCAACTCTGCGACTCCAGCCATCGGAAGTTTGGAACCTACCCGTCGCTTGATACTCAACGACTCGACCCGATCGAGTCCATCTAAGTTATACCCACCCGATAGTCGATAGGATATTTTAATTCGGCGCGAATGCGACCCCAGTTTTTCTCCGCTTCACCGCTCCACTGCACTGACGCCAGGGGTACCGCACGGCCCATCATCGTTCGAGGATCAACGTGCCCAGATGGACAACAAGCAAGCAGAAAGCGAAGGCACCTCAAGTGGGTGGTAAGCAGTCGCCAACTGGTTGCCAACTGAATTTCAAGCGCGTTCGTTGAAGGCAGAGTGATGATCGGACCAGATCCAAGATCGCCGCCAGAGAACGACGCCAGCGCTTCGAACAACGGCAACGCGGCGAGAATGAACCGAAGGAGACGACCAGTTTTTACTGGAGAGATGGGTCGTCTTGTGCATTGTATCATCGACGCCAATTCTACGGGTATTGCTACATCGGGAGTCTCAGCGTGCTAAAGAACCTGGACCGATCCGACGCCGTCGGCGACGTTGACATGGCGTTTTCGTTTGACGATGGAGTATCTATTGCTCGGCGGCGCCACCCAACGAGTGATGGTATTTAGACTCAAACTTGATGCGGCGCGAGGCGGGGCGGTGGTACGGGATCGCTTCCTATCATGCGTGTGTATGTGGGCAGCGCAGTTTCAAGCCAGCGTGTTCATGAACACTGCAATGATGAGCTGATTCCAAGAGCTTCCGCGTCTCCACCTGGCCCCACTTGGTGCTGCGACTTGATCGAGCCGCCTCCATGACGTGGCGTGCATCGTATGGTAGCGTCAAAAGAGCGGGGACGTCAATTGTACAAAGCTGGATCACTTTGCAGCACAGACACGACAGCCTTCTGTACGTCGTGTCCTTGTCGGCGCTGCTGACGGCCGTCGCACCAGCGTGCTGTGAAGGCACATGGCATTTCAGCTTTCGGCATCGAACTACGGGTAGTCCATTCGAGAACCAAGCCGTTCGACTCGCTCCACTGCCTCCGTCTTCTTGGTACAGGGCAGATTCCAAAGCTGATCGAAATGTGCAATGACGGTCATCGTCGCAGGTCGCCAAGTGCTGTGGTGTGGAGTTGGTCGCCAAGTGCTGTGGTGTGGAGTTTGCAGCGAGTACTGTTTCGTCCGTGTCACTGTTCTTAAATCGAGGCGACCATGCTCGCTACCGGGTTACCTTGGACGTCAAGTCGTCAAGTCGACGCGGGCGATCATCATGGGCCAGAGACTCTCAGACTGCCATGGGACGGCAGTAGCCAGCGCGACACAACCATCACAGCGTTTCAATCTTATTGTTGGTCGAGCCGCCGTACGTGACTAGAAACACTCAACCCGCCTTGCAGTCGGTTTGGACGTGCATGGAAACGCTGCCTCGAACGTCAAGTCTAAACCCACACCGACCAGCGTCCCTGCGTCCGTCTTGACGCGTGCGGCGTTGCTTCATGCTGGGTCGGCCAGTCCATCACTGAGGACCTCAATGCAGTTGCTTGGTCGACCGTCGAGGTGAGACGCGTGCAGCTGCGGGAGTTGCCCCTTCTCCTTCGCCAGTGGTCCAAGAGAGTTGCGTCGAGATATCCTCGCCAGTCGATCCTGACACAAACGACTTGCATTCTTGTTTTCAATGTAGAATGTTGGTCTTTCAACCTCTACAATTGCATATTTTGCCGGAGCGTATTATATGTTGGAGAGATCGACAGGCTGGCCGTTCGAGGGCCGAAGGAACGTTGGGTGCTCGTAGCCCACTTGACAACCGACAGCCAAAGCAAGAAGCATGGGCTCCGGACTACCCGCGGTCGAGCGGCTCGTCGGCGCACTCTCAACGCTGGCGGTCGGCCTCACCATCTACGTCGTACGTCGCCGCCGACATGGCACCGGCAGCTCAGGTTGATGCTAGGTGCATCGCGTCCTGCGCCCCAAGGCCATGACCATGGACGACTACTACCGGTACGCCGACGCTGCGTCGCCGCCGCTCATGCGCGCGTAGGCAAAAGTACATGGACACGAGCGATATGATCGGCCACAAGGGCAGCTGCGGCTGCGGCGCCATGACGTACGCTAGCATATTTGCCATCCGCGCTCATGCCCATGGCGCCATAGGTTCATCGTGCTTGCGCCGCGCAACATTTGCGCCTTTGACGATAGCAACACGTTTCCGTCCAAGAAGGGCCGTATTCCCGTCCTCGTACGCGCCATGTCGATGGCGCCTACGTACTGACGATGCGTGTAGATCGTGCCGATGACGCACCTCCAGATGACGAGCCAAAGCACCGAGGACGCCAACTCGTTCGTGTCCATCTACACGCACCACGAGACGCCGACGTTCGCGTCGCAGCACGTCTTTTGCAAGCGCTGTGGCATTCACCTCTTTCACATGGAACTCAGCCGCACGGACCGAGTGGCCATCAATGTGCATTGCATTGACGACGACTACATCCAAGAACTGCGGGTTCGATGCCCTCCTACTGCGACGCTCTGCTGACGATTTGATGCAGGTGGTGTTTGTGCCCAAGGGCGGTCGACCCATCTTTGAACGGCTATCGGTGGACGCGATCGAAGGCCACGCAACGTCATCCTCGTCCACGACCAAGGCCATTGGCCAAGGACGCAAGCAAAGCGGAGCTCAAAAGCAGATTCCTCCGCCCTCGTACGTCCCTGGCATAATCTAGCATGTGACACACGCACGTCTTCGCCTGTAGAACGTTTGAGCGACAGCTCATGGCGTGGTCGCAGCTTCAGACCCAAGCCGACCAGCCGCCCGTGGTGCCAATCACCCACGTACCCGCCAAGGTACTTGTACACATATCTAGCTTGCATGTACTTATTGTGGCATGTAGCAACCCGAGCCGGCCAAGCCCGAGACGCCGCGACACGACCCGATGACGACGCCACCGACACCGCCCCACGACTCGATCTCGCACGTAAGAAGTGCTGTCTACTGAGACGCGACGATGAATATTGGCGTCTAGATTCCTCAGCAAGATCTGGTGCGAATGAAGCACCAGCTCCAGTACTACTTGCAGGTATCCGACGGCCTCTGCCGTAGCACGCTCATCAAAGCTGTATGACTAGCGCCACTTTCGTGACGGTGACGACGGCGCGACTGCAGTCGTATAGGAGCAACATTAGTGTAGTCTAGGACCATTATTTCCAGTTACAACGCAAAAATTACTATTTTACAGACAGTTTGAACCATTCTCGCAACTGCTCGACTTTGCCGTTGCCGTGCACACGCCAATGAAGGCGCTTCCACGGCGTCAGAGCGACCGACCATCCAAGCCATCGAGGCCGACAACACGACCATCCAGCGATCTAAAGCATGTCAGGATGTCAGGCTACAGAGCTCTGGATGCGTGTTGGCTCCCAGCGCGCTTTGCTCAAGGCCAGCACCGTTGCGTGGTCACTGTGTGTGACGTTGACAAGCTGAGGTATCGCTCGGCGCTGTAAAAAGCCACTTGACCGCAAGTGGATTGGGCAAACAACTGGATCCTCAGCCGCAGGATTCGCCGATTTTTGTATGGCGTGATACACCCTCTTTTTATTGACAATTGTTAAGACGCAATATCGTCCATGGCCCGACAGTGGTCATGCGCTGTCGAGAGCCACGCGGGCAAAAGATGCCCGAGTCGCGAACGAGGTTGTCAAGATCAACCTCGTTCGCTTGACACCTCCAGCTGCATGTCAAGCCGCCAACACGCCACGATGACCGACAACGACCAGCTGACGGAATCCGCCGGCCGGACGTCACACGCGCGTGCTTCTTCTCCCGCATGTCATCGAGGCCATTGCAGTGTGCTCTGACAACGGCGACGACTTGGAACCTATATTCGTGCAATCGGTTAGGAGGCTGATGAGTACATTGGCGGTGTTACCTGTTGTCTCGACTGTGTTGCTGGTGCTTCTCTCATAAAGCTTGCTGCAACAAGCAGCAGCCACTAGGATTAACCTCGGGTTTTCTTGGGGCAGCGTGTGATCTCGTAAAACTCGTCGATGCTGCAAATGCCCATGTCGGCCAGCACTAGCGCGCCGCCTTCATCTCCTTGGTGATCTGTTCGCGCACGACCGCAGCCGTGAGACCGACGCCACAACTGCCCTTGCCCGTCGCGTGGATGTCTCTCGGGCTCACGGTCGTAATGAGCTGGAGGAGCTTCCTCTTGGCCTCACCGGGGTCACCCATCAGAAGTACTTTGATGTCATTTTCATGCCTTCGTTCATGTGCTTGGTAACGCCGCCAATCTTCATCACGACAATGTCGCGACAAAAATGTTCCAACAACATCGCGACAACGTCACAACAACGTCGCGACAACGTCACAACAACGTCGCGACAACGTCACAACAACGTCGCGACAACGTCGTAACAGTGTCGTAACAACGTCGTAACAGTGTCGTAACAACGTCGTGACAGTGGTCGCGACAGTGGCGACAGCGGTCGCGACAGCGGTCGCGACAATAGTGTTACAACAACATCGTAACAATGTTACGACAGATCATCTCCGCGGCCCATAACAAGCAACCAAGCCGAGCTGCTGCACTTGTCCCACTACGGCAACCCGCTCATGTCCTCCC